TAGACGTTTTGCTATTAACAAGGCCGCTATAGCAGCCGCGGCAAGTGTGGTTATAGTTCCTGCTGCTGTTGCTATGATGACTGTGACATCCATTTTCAAGGCCAATATTGCTGCCACTCTTGTCTTTCTAAAGAATCAGGCCTCTCCATTGCAGACTACACAGGAGACAAGCTATGCCTGGGATGACGCCACCTCTGCGCCCCAGCAAGATTCAGCTTCCCAGCAGGCAGCTGGAGAACAGACTCAGGATTCTATGCTGGTGCCCCTGACAGAACCCTGGGTGTTCTGAATTCCACCACTTAACTGCCTCTTCCAGCCATCATCTTCCTTAGAAGGATGATGATTCCCCATCATTTAAACTTATTCCTGGATATCCTGAGATTCTCCAGGGACCATTTATTTAACTGTTCATTGATTTATCCATGATGTCTGTAAAAACCTGAGGCATAAAGAAGATTTTTCAATTAGAACATTTAAAACATCAAAGTAAAAAAAAAAAAAAAAGCTAATGCCAGGAGCGAGGAATTATCACATTGCTTAAAATGAATGGGAGGACATGAAACTACCTAGTAGCTATAAATAGGACGGGCTTTTTACATGAATTTAGGTGCTAGTTCCAGGCAAATTACTGAACATCCCAACTCTCAGGTTTAAAGTGTGTTAAAATGATAAATATATCCACAATTGTTTTTATGATTAAATAATGTAAGCATAGCCGCAGTGCCCCTAACACTAAGGAAAACATTTTTGTGACTATCAGAAAGGTACTGAGTATGGTGGTGCAAGCCTATAATCCTAGCCACTTGGGAAGGCTGAGGCAGGAGGATATCAAGTTTGAGCCCAGCCTAAGCAACTTAGTGAAATAAATAATCAAAAAGGCTAGTGTTTAAAAATAGTTTGGTAGCTGTGTTAAAATGGATTACAATAAGATGAGGTTGTATGGAAAATGGTCACTTTGGGAGGCTGTGATAGACTCATAATTTTTAGTCAACCATAAACTATTTTCTACCTCCTTTATAAATGCATATGATCATGTGACTAAAGTCTCACCAATATGTGAACATGCAACTTCCACCTCACCTGGTTAAAATTCCTTGATCCTGCTCTGTCCTTCCTCTTTCTAGGCCTTGTATGTTTTTTTACTATGTAGGTAAGTATAATGCTCTAGGACAGTAGTTCTCTACCTGAGGCTTCAGATCCTCAAGGGATTCACATATGGAATTAAGGGGAAGTCTTGAATTAACCTTTAACTGAAATGTAACATTTCTTTTGATTATGAATATAGCCACTGCTCAAATGGTATTAGTATCGATGATTCTTCTTATCCATAGAATTCAGTATTTTCATTCCACTTTATTATAATCGTTAGCTCTATCTTTAAACATTGTCATTTTTTAATTTAAATTTTTTTTTTTTTGGGTCTTTTGAGACTGTCTTACTATGCCGTTCAGGCTGGCCTTGGGCTAACTTTGTAGCCCAGGCTGGTCTCAAACTTGCAACGATCCTCTCGCCTCAGCCTCCTGAGTGTTGGGATTACAGGCGTGAGCCACCATGCCCGGCCTCAAACATTGTCATATTAACTTTGAAATTACATGAATTACTAGGCTCTTCTTACTGAGTTAAAAGTAATATTTATCACTAACTTGTATTTTTACTAACTATATTTCAAATAGTTTCCTTTTTAATGTTAAGTATTTTATGTATTTAAAAACTTCATTACATGAAAGGGTTCAGACTCTACTAGGTTGACTTAAGATGTCCACGGCACAAAAAACGGTTTCAAATCCCTGCTTTGGGGGATTAGAGCAAAAGACTTAAGGGAAAGTGTCTGAAGTTCATTTGTGCTGCTGGCTTGCACTGCCAACTTCTCAACTATTATATAAGAGAAACATCTATCTGTTTTATTTAAAACACTGTGTTTCTAAATCTGTTACAATTTAGCCTTTATTTCACTACATTAGCTATTAAAATGTTTGTGTGACAGTAAGTCCTAAACAAAGCAATGACAATTGAAATGGAAAGAGAACACAAGATTTAGGAGGTAGAATTTATAAGAGTTGGTGAGCTATTGCTATATAAACCAAAGTAGGAGGAAAGCAAGGAAGACATTGAGGATTCTAGTGCTGGGTGACTGGGTAGAAAGGGCATGTACTATTAATCAAGATAAGAGAAAGAGAAACATGTCTATAAATTAAGATGAGTCAGGTTATAGAAATATTGAGTTAGAGAAACCTCTGATACATGCTGAGAAAGAGGTGCAAGAAAAGGCAGAGACATACATCTAAAAATCTAGAGCAATCTAGGCTAGAGAGAAATGTGAGTGTCACTGGCATACAGATGGAATCTGAAACTTTAGCGAAGAAATGAGGTAGGGAAAAAATATAAAGTTAGAAGAGAATGCAGGACTGGCCCCTAGAAAATACTAACATTTAAACAGGCAGTGGAAAGAATCCCCTTTGAATTCACTTTTAGGTCAGTCAGCTATGAGGAATGAAGGTATCAATTTATTTAGGTAGCATAATGCTTATATATGGACAAAGGAACTATTTTGGAAATTTTAGTTTTGAGGATGTGAAAGTCCTATTTTTAAAAAGCATCAATACAAGTAGGAATATAAAACATTAAAAACTCCTTGAGGGACCCTGGCCTCTTAGCACATATTTTGATTATCTCTCCAACAGCAAAACCTAACTACTATGTATGGTACTTATGAAAAGCTACATGACACTTTCTCTCAGAGAAAAAACTGAAATTAACCAAATGAAAATAAATGTAGTCTCAGTGAGTATAAATTACTATCAAATCAAAAGGTTATCTTCTTGTAGGGAAGATATATTTTAATGAACTAAATAAAAAGGAACTAAAGTTCTGAGAATGGAATTTTAGGTATTTTTGGGGAGATAGTTTTAAAACTGGAAATTACGTCTTACACAAGACTCTGTAAGATGTAGACAAAGGAATTTAAGATAAAAACTCATTTTAAATATATTTTAGCTATGTATTTTCCAACATTGGTGTTAACATTTAGCAAAGTTATTTCCTTATGAAATCTGTATTGATTTGGCTCATTGTAAGTCATCTCTCAACAATGTGTTGTATTAATATAGAGTTTTAGCTCAGCCCAAGATACTAATATTTTTCTTTTATCTATACATCTTCCAGACTTCATAGATTTTGGTTTAGCAATTTAGAATAAATTGCCATCTACCTATGCCTTTCAGAATTTTAAAGACTTCTTTTGCCAGGAGTGGTGGCACACATCATGATCCCATGTACTGAGTAACTTAGCAACACATGGTCTCAAAATATAATTAAAAGGAGTAGGAATGGAGCTCAGTATTCCCTGGGTTAAACCTATAGTACCATGGCTATAAAAAAAGATTTCTTTCTTATAAGCATTGCTTTGTACAAATTAAAATTTTTATACTATTTTCTTAATCTTTATTTGAGAAAATATTTGGTTATTTTAACTTTCTTTGATGTACTAGTTTAGAAGGAAAGTATTTTATATTTTGTTTCTGTAACCTGGGTTATGTTGACCACTAAAAGAAATCATGTTGAGAGTTTTCAAGTTATTTTCCCTCTGAAGTGATACTACTAATATATTACAAAGTATACTTTGTATTTTCTTTGAAATGTACTTTGTACCTGTACACCAACAAGTCTGTCTACTCTACTACACTCACTTTCAGCTTCACAAAATCTTTCTCCAGTTTATCCAACTAGCTTAACATTCTTTTACCCAAACTTTGACACACTGGTATTTCAAATGTACTGTGAGATGTTGGTAAGAATTGCCTCCTTAGTTTTTTATAGCCATGAGGAGGTGGCGGCCAAGGAGAGAAGAAAAAGAGACCGAGAAAAAACAGCTGCCTTTGTTGCAGCACTAAGAGAAACAGACCCTAAGTCTGATTCTCGGGGCCCCAAGAAGAACTTATCAACTACATTCATCTGCTACTGCTGTCAAAAGCCAGGCCATCTCAAGAGGGACTGCCCTAAGAAGCCCCCTGGGCCATGCCCTGACTGTAAAGGTGACCACTAGAGGTTGGACTGCCCTCTGAAGCAAAGGCCCCAGAGCTCAGACCCCTCCTACCAGCTCTCCCAACAGCAATGAAGGGGCCCAGGGCTTACTCTGCCTTCTCCCTCTGGCCAGACAGTTATCTTCAAGGAGGAGCCCCGCGTAATCATGACTATAGAGGAAAAAGTAAACAGCCTATTGCTGGACACTGGTGCTAGTCTCCTGGTCCTTCTTTTCAATCCTAGCCTTCCAGCCATCACACCTCAGTAAAAAGAGTCACTGATGAGGAGGTAATCTGCTATTTTTCACAACCCTTGGGCTGTAACTACTTGTTAGATCTTTCTTACATATCTTTGTTTTCCTGTGAAACCACTTTGAAGATACCAACATGTATTACAGCAGCCATTGATAATTTCCTACCAATCTGTCCATAACTCTGTAATGTTTTTATTGTTCCTATACTATTTCATAAACGGATGTATGTTTATTACTCTGTGTTTTCAACAACTATGGAGAACAGTCAATGATTATTTAATTGATCACTCATGTATAGCTCTATTTGTTTTCCCTAGAAACCACTCTGAAGAAACCAAAGTATAGTACAACAACCATTGATAATTTCCTACCATTTTTGTCTGTAACTCACTATTATTTGTCTATTTGCTTTCCTGAGAAACTATCTTGAAGATACCAATAGGTAAAATAACAACCATTGATAATGTCCTACCACTTTGTCTGTAATTCGGTAAATCCCCCTATTACTATGTTATCCTTCTTTTACTCTTCTAAATAAATTAAAAACAAAACAAAACAAATGTACTGTCTTCTATAACATCTCTGAAAAAAGAATCTTGTACAAAACCTTAGAGATGCTTGTATTTCTCCACAGAGAAACATCTTTTTTTCTCTCTCTCATGACCAAAGTTTTTTTATCTTCTGCTTACTAAAGTTAAGGGTAGTAGAAAAAAAGGGCTCATCTACAACAGTTTTAAACTTCCTTTTATTGTCAATATAGAATACAAAAACTGATTTTCTAGGGGATATTTTTTGTTCCAAGATATATTCACACTTGGTAAGACTTTATTGTAAAGACAAATATTAGCAGATAAGCCATTTTATGTTATTTTCCAACCAGTTTTACTGTATCACTAAAGCCATTATCAAATTTTAATGATCAGTTGTATTATCTGTGCTTATGAAAAGCTACATGACACTGTAAGTACCATATATCATACCTGAGTTGTCTTGGAAAAAAGCTTTTTTATTCCTACAGATATAATGATGACGTCTCTTGATAAACTTTTAAGAAGTATTCCTTACACTGTATGATTTTTAAAAGATGGGAAAACAGGTATATTAAATGAATAGCAATTTTAAAGAATATGCTTTCATTTCATAGATTTCAGCATTATATAATTTAATTTTTGTAACAAATGTAAGAAAATAATTTTAAACAAATAACATACACTACTTATAAGTAAAATGTCTCATTCCAGTGAGTTTAAGTGGGAAGGAAACATACACTTATCTGATTTTAAATATTTAAGCCCTTGAAGAAAGTTTATGCTTTATTGCAGAAGTAGCAGTTTAAGATACACTGATGGTAATAACATCCTATCAAAATGTATGCAAATGGCAGCATGTAATTGGTATGTTTAACAGGTCAGATGCATCCATTTTTCAATTTAATCTCCGGATGAACCACCTCCAATATCAATATTAAGGAATTCTTTAATTTTATCATATAACACCAATACCAAAGCACCCCCTGTGCCACGAAGGACGTTGGAGAAGGCACCACGAAAAAATGCATTGATTCCCTCATTTCGGTATATCTTCACAAAGCAGTCTAAGGTTCCTTTATACTGCCGTTCAGCCTCACCACTCTATATAAAGAAAAAGTTTTATATTATTTTGAGATCATTTATCTTAACATAGTTTTCTATCAGTAGTAAAGATCAATTAGATTAACACTATGTTGAATTAATTAGCTTATATTGAGTATTGTACCTTGTGCTCTGAAAATATTCATACTTTGCAGGCATGTTTGAAAACTGACCTTATACCAGGGTTAACAAATGTCAAAAGATGGCATTACATAGACCACACCACAATTAAGTGAGAAATTAAGAGCAAAAAGGAGGACTAGAAAAATGTATGTTTGAATATTAGGAAAAAACTTCTTAGAAAATACTGAAAACCAATCATAACACTCTGTAGTTAAATTTGTAAGATACAGCTTGAGTGTTAATTTACAGGAAAATTAATTACCTTAATATTAGAAAAGAAATTAATGAACCTAGACATTTTTAGAAAGAACAACCTGAAACAAAGTATAGATAAACAGATAACCAGCAATTAAAAAGGGAAATAAAAAATAAATACAACAGTGCATAAAAAGTCAATAGATAACAGAAAATAAACAAAATAAAGCACAAAAAGTATGCAATTCTTGAGATACCCTGTGGACAAATTTCTGGAAACAATACTGGAGGGTAAAAGAGAGAAGGCCACAAGATTATTAAAAATAGCAAAGGTAACATAAATAAAGATGATTCAAAGATTAAAGGAAGAGCAAGAGCTTCGTGACAACTATCTTGGAAGAAATGGATAAATCCCCAGAAAGTATAATTTATCAACAGAATGGGAAAGAACATGGAACAATACTGTACCTGCTAAGGAAATTCAGTTGTTCAAAACACACTCATAAGGAAAACCACACATCCAGATAGTGTCATGTGAGTTTTACAAATGTTTTCTTACACTCTTAACAAAAATTTTCTAGAGAAGAAAAGTGGGAAGACTCCCCAACATATTTTATGAGGTTTCAACAGTTGATACAAAAGTCAAACTATGACAATAAAAGGAGTTAAAATACTATTAATGTTAGTGAAGTATGAATATGAAAGTCCTGAATAAAACTTTGCAAAACTTGCAAACTGAAAGGCATACAAAATATAATATATCATGACAAAGCTAGGTTTCCCCCAGGCATACAAGGTAAATTTAGGTCTGGAAAACAGATTAGTGTAATACAATACCATAACATTAAAAGAGAAAAATGACATGATAATCTTAATAGATATAAAAAAGACTGCCATTCATGATTAAAAATTGTTTTAACAGAGGAACAGAAAGTAACTGCCAATAACACAGCAGGTTAACTAAAAAAATCCCACATTTAGCATTAAATTATATAGCATTAAAGACATTCTTAGGTTGTCAGTTATTACTTCTTTAGTATAAAACTGAATCAGAGATCTCAATGAGTGTAGATAGGCAGACAAAAAGGTATAAGAATTGGTAAGAAAGAGAAAAATAGAGTACACCACACCCTGATTCCATGTATATTTTCTAAAAAAAAATTTTTTTTTCAGAACCTTTGAACTGAGATATATCTGTAGCCCATTTTGCATTTTTAATCTCCCAATGTAGGATTTTGATGTTTGAAGTGATGGATATGCAATTATCCTGATTTGACCAGTATACATAAAAACAAGTATTCATAATGCTGTATTGAAATATTACACTGTACTCTGTAAATTTGTATAATTATTTATCAATTAAAATGATTTCTTTTTGGTCTTTTTGAGACAGGGTCTCACTATGCAGCTCAGGTTGGCCTTGAGCTCACTTTGTAGCCCAGGCTGGCCTCGAACGCACAATGATCCTCCTGCCTCAGCCTCCCAAGTGCTAGGATTACAGGTGTGTGCCATCACGCCTGGCCTAAAATGATTTTTCAAAGTGTGTCAATGCAGTAAACTAGTTCTAGTATACGAGGAAGAGGAAACACAGATGTTAAAGGAACAACTCTTAGGATTGTCTATGAGTAAAGTAAAAAAAGTTAGTCTTACCCTTCTGGGTGGCTTACTGGGTTCTTCTAAGACCATTTTATAAGTGATAAAAATAAGGACCAAATCTCTTGGAATTGTTTTGAGAATTTAATGAGTCAAAGTATAAAATGCTTGAGATAGTATATGGCACATAGGAAGTACATTACTATTTTTTTTTTTTGTTTTGTTTTTCTCTGGTACCGGGAATCGAACTCACAACCTTGCGCTTGCCAGGCAGGCGGGAAGTACATTACTATTTTAGATTTCTGTCATTATTTTCACTTGGCCTCATGAAACTTATGATTTGGCCAAAGTGATGACTTTTCAAGCTGTACACCTCCATCATCCCTCCACCCTGCCCCATGCTTAGAATATTCTCTCATTGTCTGGAAAAAGCCTATTCTTGAAGCCACATATAATCAAGAAGCCACATATAATCACTCCAAACATCTGAGTAGCACTCCTCTATGTTTCCCTAACTTCTGTGCACATTTTTATTTAGAGAATTAATCATATATCTTTAATATTAGATTATGAGTTTGGGTACAGGTTCTATCTTATTTGTGTCACAAGAATTTAGGATAGATTGAGCACTCAAAAAATTTACTGAAGGAATTCTTGTAACAAGCAACAGCAGTGGAAATGGGATACATCAAAATTTGGGTTCAGGGGTTTATATTTACAACACAGATCATTATAAACAAGTTCTCATCCTTGAAGTTCAAAATTACTTACATTTACCAAAACATACTCTAATAAATGATTATGTCAATGGTTTATAACTTGGCATAATTCTACTTAACCTAGTATTTTAGTTCAAATAGATATATTCATATAATCTCTGCCATCTCCCTCTACCCCTCAAATATTTTTCTATAGGAGAAGACATTTCTGTTCTGATGGCAGATCAGGAAGAAGCTCTGCTGGATGGTGACTATTTTATCTGAAAGAATGTAAGAGAGAATATATCACAGTATTTATTTTATCTAAGTAAAACAATGACATGCCATTTTGCTAAAATTTCTCTGACATGTGAATAAATTACACATAAATATCAAAGATATTAGAAAACTCAACTAAGCTTACAAATTAAATATGAAATACCTGCATCATCATACGTCTTCTAACTGTGTCAAAGGGATAAGAGAGTATTCCAGAGCATGTAGTCACAACTTGAGCAATGAAAAATGATACAAGAAATGGGGTTTCCTTTGGTTTTGGTAATAAGCCCTAGAAAAGAAAAATGTACCAAGTAATCATTTAAAGTTGCAAGATATCTTAAATTCTTAACTCACAGGATAATTTTTATAAATATATGAAGGAAGGTGCAATTGTATTTAAAATGCAATGAAAATCATCTGGATTTAATAGTAGCAAATAAAAAAGGCCAGTGACACACATGACTGTATTTCGAAGGTACAGTTGACAAAAGAGCATGATTGCTATTAAAGGGATATGTCCTTAATGATACTGATAACTAGAAATGATGTCAGCCAATAACCAAAAAAGTTCTTCTGTGGCTCTTCCTTGTGGAGTTGAAAAAAATGAAAGAATTACCATAAACAGGTAATTAGATGAGTAGCTGTAAAGTTCTGAACTACTGATGAAATATTCCTACGTTTTATAACTACTGCAGGAAATAGAGAAAAGCAGAGGGAAAGTAGATACATATTTTTCTATGACTAAATAAAAGTACTCGAGATGATGTAATTTTCACTAATTTGTCAAAAATATATTAAAAATGGAAGTAATCTGTCCACACCACAATAAAAATGACACTCCACTACATTTATACTAATGAGGGAATGCAGACATAAAATTTTCCTCATTTAAATTGTATTTAATAAATAATATTGATATTAGTTTCAGTGCTTCCTTTTGGAAGCATTTTGCTATAGTGATTTAAGAGTATGGATTTTTTACTGGTTATTAGTAAGTAAATTATGTAACTTTCCCAGGCTATTTATCTTGAAAGTGAGGGTTTTAAAGTATGCCAGAGAAACCAAAAATATAAACCAAAGTGTATAATAGATATTGGGAAATGGGAAAAAAATGTTCAAATAAGAAGGGGACTAAGGGAGGGGGAGGAGGAAGGGAAGAAGGGACAAGAAAAAAGGAAGGAAAACTGGAAACAAAGCTTTTACAAATAAGGAGGGGAAGAGTAGTTGAAGGAAAGGGTGGTAAAGGGGAAGAAAGAAGAATCAAGATGTATCATGTACAGGTAAAAATTCCATATGATGAATGTTATGTTCATCTAAGATGTACCAATAAAATTAATTTAAAAAAACAAACTATGCAAGAACACTGTGAAGATGTAAAATACTCAACAAGGTCTGTAGAAATTAAAAGGCAAATTGCAAAGCAAGTTGGAAAATACAATACAGAATTTAACAGTATCTCATAGATAACCAAAGAGTAACAACACCTAAGCTTTCTCACAGTGATAACAGCAAGTTATTCGATGCATTTATAATAAAGTTAATAGTGTAAAAGCAGAAAATCTGTTAGATGTTTTTCTATATGCTGACGATTTGGCTATGATACAAGCCTAACTAGTATGTTTCCATGTGTGACATGGTGCATAGCGCAAACACCATGAAAACCTACTACTGCATTTTGATACATGCTTTATATGTAAAGTCAGATCCGTAATAGCTGTAATTGAATTTGATCATAGCAGTCATAATTAAATACAATTTCATGTCTCTTATCATTCATCTTGATTTGCATAAAGTACATTATTATTATTAGCACATTATTAATTACATTATTTTAGAAGCCCAATATTAGAGCACATTTATTAATTAGGATTTCAAAAATGGACATTTATTTAATATAATCAAGTTAAAGCCCAAAATTACCTTAACTGTGTCATAAGCTCCAAAATAAGAGGCTCGGTACACAATGATTCCCTGAACTGAAACACCAAATCCTTGGTATAAACCAACAATTCCATCTGATTTTGCTATTTTCACAATACAGTCACCTAAACCCTTGAATTGTCGCTGTTCAGGTCCTAAAATAAAGCCATTAAAAACTATTAGCAACATTATATGTCAAACACCTTAATCAAAAGCAAGCAAATATTTTAGAGATTTAAGTAATCTGAACTTTTTGAATTTTAAAAGAAATTAACTGAAAAAAACTCTTATAAAAGCAGTCAACTTGAAGCAATCTGACTTCAAATAGTTCATTAAAATTACTGTAAGTAGCTATGCTTGGTGCCACACACTTGTAATCTCAGTAGTCAGAAGGCTAAGGCTGGAGGACTGCCTCAAGTGGGAGGCCAACCTGGGCTACATAATGAGTATAAGGCCAGCCTGAATAACATTGTGAGACTCTACCTCCAAAACCAAAAAAAAAAAAATTAACAGAAGTTATTAGAAAATACTTAGGTGAGGCAAAGGCAATCTCCAGGATGAAAGGTATACCTCTAACCTAGAGAGACAAGAACAAGGTACATGGAAAAATCACTCAAGAAAAAAAAATGAAACTGAGTTTTATAAGCAGCTTCCATGTGCATTCTTCTGTTAAAATGGACCTTACCTTTTTCTCTTTTAAGGTAAAAGAAAAAAGTGTATTTTTGTAGATAACAATATGTAAAACAATAACCATTGATAATTTCCTACCACTTTGTCTGCAATTTGGTAAGCCTCCCTTATTACTATGTTATCCTTCTTTTACTCTTTAAAATAAAAAAAGAAAAAAAAAGAAAAAAGTGTATTTTAAGTGTTACGACTACCATTTGGTGGAGAATAAAATTCGTAGGCTGTATTTGATAACACTATTGATACAGCATAATGTTATAATAAATAACACATAGTCAAAAACCCAAGAAAAAGTTAATATAACTAAAATTCCATACCTTTTCCAATATCGGCACCTAATCGTGTTCGGGCAAAATCTAGTGGATAAACTACACACAACGATGTGGCCCCAGCAGCTCCACCAGAAGCCAGGTTTGCCAAAAACCATCTCCAGAACTGAAACATCCATTTTTAAAAAAGTCTTTATTAGACTACAGATTCTGACTGTTTAAAACATTTAGTAAACTATTTTTATAAATGTTAAAAACCAGATACACAAGCTGTACATATGCAGTTAAACATGTATGATGATATTCACATTACTCATATCCTGTTCCCCTCTCTTTTCCTTTTCCTTGCCTTTCCCTTTCCTTTTTCCTCTTTCCTTCCCTCCCTCCCTCCTTCCTTCTTTGCTTGCTTGGGAGTGAGGTGGGGTGATGTATAGAACCCAAGACCTGGTGCATGATAGACAAGTATTCTCCCATAGAGCCACATCTCCAGCCTGTAGTCTGTTTCTTACTGGGCACTGTGGGAAATACAGTTTAGATGCTGATATACTCAAGTTGAAGGATATAATGTCCTCCAGTGAAAGAGGCCACATGAGATAATCAGCAATTTAGACTGATTATGCCATTGTTAATTGAGGCTACTATTATTTTCTTCCAAGAAAAATTATACGTGTATAAATATATACTTTTAGTGTACTTAAGGTATTGTGAAGGAATCCATGGACCCCCAAGTAAAGTACTTCTGATCTATAAAAAGGTCATAAAGTCTTATTGGGATACTGACACTGACCTTAAAAGGAATAAAAATAGGTAAGTTTTTTAAAAAGTGAGCAACAATAAGAAAACAGTAAACACAAAAAAGTAGGTACAATAATCACACAGATCAAGTGCTTGGTAGGGAAAGACACAACATAATTTACTTCCTAAAGCTATCTTTGGTTCAAGTGTTAGCTATCATTACAATTATTCTCTTTTTCCTGAAGTAATTTGCCTCAATCTGTTTCTTAAAACCCAAGTTAAACATGATATGCAGCATAAAGGTTCATAAAGTAGATAATAAATTCCATTTAACACTGTGCTTTAGTTTTAGCCCTTGTTTGGAGAAGAAACTGGTACTACAGTATTGTATAATGCCCCAATTTTACTTTGTAATTTTAGGTGAATTAAATTTGAAGAGCTCAAAAGTATGTATTTAATCATGGTCAGATGATAACACGAAAATTGGCAGACACCAACTACAATATAGTTGAGTGCCATGTAAGTTAAACCTTATTGGTCACTAGTTCATCTGAGCGGTTGAAGTATGTTATACCTTTTGCTTAGATGTCCCCCTGAAGACTTATGTGGTCACAGGGGCCTTCTCAGAGGTGGCTGTATCTAGTGTCTGTGAAACTGGAATTGATTCATGGTGCAATGCTAGGATCAAGGGTGTTAGGACTAAGGATGTGAGTGTTACCCACCCTAAGTAGCCTGGATAAGATATAAGTGTATAAGGGATAGAAAGGGCTGTGGTTATCCCTTGTTGCTTTGCTACCTTTGCCTGCCATTAACTGTTTCTCCTTTGTGATTCCCCTCTGCCAAGCCACCCCACCTTAAATCCAGTTAATTATGGATTGAAACATCTACAGACTGTGAGCTAAGTAAGACTTTCCTCCTTTAACTTCGGGTCTGAGTGTTTTGTCTCAGCAATGAAAAAAGTAACTAAGACAAAGTCTAACTTTTTTGGATAAATATTTAAAATGAGCACTCCCCAGACTTAGCAGGTTGCTTCTCAACATTGAGCGCTTGTGGAAAAAGAAATAAGTACTTGAATTGGAACTGTTATGGGCAATCCAGGGAACAAGGTCACTGGAACCATTAAATATATTAAAGTAACATTCTAGTCAAGTTCAGGTTCTTGCTATAGTCTCCTGCTCTTATTTCTAATAATAATTTTAAATCTCAGATAGCTTTGGAACTCCTAATTTTCTCTTGGCTTGGAATATCTTCCTAGTTTATTTTAGGAAATACTTATTGCTTTATGCTCTAAATTCAGGTTCTCTTTCATGAAATATTCTCTGATCTTCAACCTCTTTAAAACTTTATATAATCAGACCCTCTTGCCATAGATAATCTGTCAGGGAATTAAAGATGACTCACAGGACCAATATATATAATGTGTAACGTCCCAGACTTTAACTAGTACTTACAACTATTTCCTATTTTTAATTTATAATTATTTGTGTACATTTATACTTCTACAGACTGAGTTTCTTGCAGCTGGAATTTTTATTTAATACTTTAATTGAGGTATAATTCACACTCATACAGTTCATCCATCTAAAATATATAAATCATTGAACTATTAGTATATAATTATAAATTATAACCATTAGTACATTTAAAAACTTTTCTTACCCCAAAAAGAAACCTCATCCTGATTTTATGTCACTATAGCCTCCCTAATTGTCTGAGCCCTAGGTAACCATTAATCTACTTTTGATCTCTATAGATGTGCCTATTCTGGATACAGTATATGAATGGAATCATATACTCTGTCATCTTTCATGGTAACTGTTTTTCTCATTTAACAATGTTTTCAAGGTTTATTCACGTTGCAGCATATAATACTACTTCATGTTATATTATTGGCAAATAATATTCTGTATTAAGGATACATAATACCACATTTATTTATCCACTCATCAGTTGAAAAATGTCTGTTTTTTCACTTTCTGGAGGTCAGGATTCTTAATTCAGAATCTGTTTATTTTACAAATCAAGTCAGAGGGGTTTTCCCAGAGATATGTATTCACAATTAATACTTATTTAATAAAGTACAAGTACACTGGTGATATCACTTAGTGTTTCTAGACTCTCATGTCTGCTTTTACGTGAAGCTCATTGGTTCTATATAAATATCCATATTTCATAATCTTACAAAACAACTGGATCAGGAGATTGCATGTGACACTGGGGAAACTAATCCATAGAAATTTGGTAGAACAAGATGAGCTGGACAGAGTCGCTCTTTCTTCGGTATTTCAGCTTGGGTATTTAACCTTTTGGCTTGCCTGGTTTGCACTGAGTGAAGAGAAATTGTCTTGTGGGCAGTCTATCTTCAAGTATTGTGCAATCAATCAAGTCATGAAAAATGTCACTAAAAGTCACATAATACTGTTAAAGTTTACAGTCTTTTGGGGCCACAGTACTAGCTGTCCAGGGCACATTCAGTAAGAATAGAAATGGAAAAGTTATCAAGTAACTTAAGAAAAATCTCAGATTTCCTTGAGACTTGGAAAGCTGTAGATAGATCCCCTATTAAGAGAAATCACATATGTCTAAGTATATACTTTCAGTATGTTCAGGCATTCCTGAAACATCAACAGATCCTAGGTTAAGAAGTTCTGAACTGCTGAAAGATCATAAAAGACCACTATGATGTTAATCTGGAATTTAAAAATCATAAAAAATAAGTTAAAAAGTGGGCAATATTGAGAAAGACTAAATACACACAAAAATCACGTAATTAAGAGAAAGCTAGAATAGGTACTTGGGTGAGAACAATGAAGAGTATAGTCTGGGTCCTGAGAAACTTCACACACTGGCAGTATCACAGGCAGTGAGGTTTGCCTGAGATGTGATTATTGCTAGTTTGGTCCCTAGAGCTGACTTTGGTTTAAATTCAAACTGTCAGTGTATCATTACAATAAGTTCTTTTTTCCCCTGAGGAAATCTGAATCATTCTCTGCTTCTTAAAACTAGTACAGTAAGTCAAATCAAACATGATATGTAGCATAAAGATTATAGAGTAGGTCTTAAATTCTATTTAATCTTTTTTTCCTTCCTAGGTAAAAGAAGGCAGATTACTGACTTTTTGGGTAGACAACTGGGTGAATATAATTTATCATTCAAATTAGGACACTTCTGATAGGGAAAGTAAGAGCTACGAACAAATGATACAGGCAGGCCTAGTATGTGTGGCCAGCTTGTTGACAGGAAGAAAGGAAAGGGAGAATAAAAGGAAGGGAAGAAGAGAAGAAGGAAGAAGACAGAGAATGTTAGAACCTGCTTATGCAGGACGATCCTGGAAGTGTCTGTGTAACAAAATCTGTCCCACCATTTTAAGACTGAAAATAAAACAGACTCTGGAGAGGCAGTATGTAATGAGTTTAATGTATTAATGAGTTTCAGTTACTATAATAACTTAAAAGTATTACTATATTATAAATTCCTGCTATTATTTATTTCTAGTTTCACTGTGTTATGGTCAGAAAAGATGCTTGATATGATTTCAGTCTCCTTACATTTGTCAAGGCTTGCTCTGTGGCATAACATGTGATACACTTGAATTTCACATGCATCAAGAATTTGCATGGCATGTTCTGTGTATTTGTTAGGTACATTTGGTCTACAATGTAGTACTATTTCAATGTTTTCTTACTGGTTTGCTACTTGGAGGAGCTCTTCATGTTTAAATTGACATACTGAGATGGGCATATGGTTTTTGTCCTTCAAGTTGCTGATGTGTTGTATTTATTGGTTTGTGCATGTTGAGTCATCCTTGTATCTCTGGGATGAATTTCACTTGAACATGGTGAATAATCTGTTGAATGTGCTGTTATATTCAGACCGCCAATATTTTGGTTAAGGATTTTTGTGTCTATGTTCATCAAGGATACTGGCTTATAGTTTTTTTGTTTTTATTGTGTTCTTGGTATTAGTACTGGCCTCACAGAATGTGTTTGGAAAAAATTCTCTCCTCTTCAATTTTTCGCAATAATTTAAGAAAAACTGGTATTTGTTCTTTAAATGTTTAGAAGAACTCATCAGTCAAGCTGTCTGATCCTGGGCTTTGCTTTGGTAGATGTTTCATTACTGATTTCAATATCATTTCTTGTTATTGGTCTGTTTAGGGTTTCTTATCTTTTTCTTTTTTCTGTTCAGGATTTTTTTTCTTTTTCCATTCAGGCTTCTTATTTCTTCATGATTTAGTCTTGGTAAACCAATTGTGTCCAGGAATTTGCCCATTTCATCTGGGTTATGAAATTTGTTGGCACTTGGGAGCCTGAGGCAGGAGGATCGTTGCAAGTTCAAGACCAGCCTGGGCTACAAAGTGAGCTCAAGGCCACCCTGAACTGCATAGAAAGACCCTGTCTCAAAAAAGACAAAAAACTTGTTGGCATTTAGTTGTTCATAATACTGTCTAATGATCCTAATATCTAATGTCCTTTCATGACTTTTTTTGGTACCAGGAAGTGAACTCAGGACCTTGCACTTGTGAGCTATATCCCTGGCCCCTAATGTGCTTTCATAATATATGTTTTCCTAATAATACCTAATGTGCTTTCAGATGTAATTTTCAACTCTGATTTTGTCTTTCCTTAGTCTAGTTAAGGGTTTGTCAATATTGTTTATCTTCTCAAAGAACAAGCTCTTCATTTTATTTATTTTTTGTCTCTATTTCATTTATTTCTGCTGTGATTTTTTTTTTTTTGGCAGTATCAGGGATTGAACTCAGGACCTTGTGTTTGCCAGGCAGGTGCTTGTGCCACTGAGCAATACCTCCAGCCCTGCTGTGATCTTTTATTATTTTTTTCCTTTAACTAATTTTGGGTTTGGTTTGCTTTTGTTTTTCTGGTTTCTTGAGATGTATCACAGTTATTTAATTTAGGTTTTTATTGATGTAAATGTGCAGTTAGGATGTCTAGCTTGGTTTTATGAGATGTGTTATGAGGGTGTACTTTTGGATAGTATGTCTAACTCCCTAGTTCCTCACCCTCTTATCTCTCTGTTTCCTGGCTGCCAGGAGGTGAGAAGTTTCCCTCTGCTATACCCTTCTACCATGTTATTTCTGCTTTGCAGCCAGCTAACCATGGACTAAATCCCCCAAACCATAAGCCAAATGAAACCTCTCATCCTTTAAGTTGTGTTGAGTATTCTGTCCCAGTCACAGCAAAGCTGACACAACAGGTAAGACAAATGTAACCATTTTTAAATTTTAGAGATGCTAAAATATAATTACCTGTGTCTCTTTATTAACTCCAGACATGAACAGTTGTTTGTATTTGTCCTTAAAAGCAAAGTTTAGAGCTTGTGTTGGAAAATATCGGATAACATTTGCCAGATTGCCACGCCAAAAACTGAGGAAACCTACAGAAAGAAACACAAATATATAAACCCACATTGCATTGTTATTAAAGGATTTCCAGTTTTAATACACTTAAGTATTTGAACTTACACATAGACTTTATGAGAATAAGTTTTCTAAAACATGTCTCTCTTTGAAAGAAAAAAAGGTAATGTTAATTGTATGTAGTCTATTGCAATTTGTTAATTTAAAAAAAGGGTTGAATACTTAAAAATCCACAGAAAGCATTAACAATTTAATAGAGATTTTTTCCTATGAGTAGAAAAATAGAGTTAACTAAGATTTTTTTTTTTTTTTTTTTTTTGAGACAGGGTCTCACTATGCAGTTCAGGCTGGCCTTGAGCTCACTTTGTAACCCAGGCTGGTCTTGAACTTGCAACAATCCTCCTGCCTTAGCCTCCTGAGTGCTGGGATTATAGGCATATGCCACCATGCTTGGCTCTAAGATTTGACAAAATGCTTTTGTTTGCAAACAATTTGGTTCGCAAACAAAAGTGGCAAAATTTTGTTTTTGTTTGCAAACTATATGCCAGACAACAAATATGACTGTGATCACCTTTTCCTTACAAACACGAATGTGGCCATCTTTTTGGAAACCATGGAACAAATTAAGTTCATGAACCAAGGTGCCACTGTACTGTAGAAATAAAGAGTAAAATGGTGGTTACCTGAACCTAAGGCTGGGCAGAGAAGATGAACAGTGACATGTTGTTTAAAGGCACAAGTCCAGTTGTACAGGATGAGTTAAGTTCTGGATATCTAATGCACATCATGGTGATTATAGTTATCATAGTTATACTTGGTCTATGTATACTTGAAATTAACTATACAGTACATCTTAAATATTCTAACATACACACACACGTTTTAATTTTATGATAATAGATATGTTAACAACCTTGATTGTTGTAATAATAAACAATGTACACATATATCAAAACATTCTGTACACAGTAAATATACACAATTTTTTATTTGTCAAATTTCTCCAGTAAAGTTGGGAAAATTATTTTTGAGGCAGTATTAAAAAAACAATGACAATTTGCTAGAGATGGTGGTATCTTTCTCTCTAAAACAGAGCATCTGATAAGTGACCTAATTTTTAAGAAAAAAAAAAAAAAAAAAAAAAAACCTTCAAAATTTAAGACAATTGAAAAAAATCTACTTTGAACTTAATTCTAGAGAAACAAGTTAAGACTTAAAATGGAACTGATAAGAATATTTCCAACTTACTACCCAATAATAGGAATACTAGGAATGTTTGGATACATAGTCTAGGCTGGAAGGATCCAACATGTCTTGATAGTATCAGTGTTAAAAAAAAGGTGAGCCTGACTCCCAAGTAATAGATATTTTTAAAAAACACTTACCTTTGCAACTATACTATTAAGTATACTTGTAAAACATACCTAACATATAAGTAAAAGGAGATATTGATTCTTTTAGAACTTTTTGTTTGGCATCTACTACATAAGAGACACTGTTCTACCTACTGGAAGTAGTACTAGGAACTAATTTCTTAGTCTTACACAGTTGGTATTTTAAGGGAAAGGAACCAGGAAACAAATATTTCTGGCAAGTGTAAGAACAAGAAAGTAAAATAAGATATGGACATAGAAAATGATGAAGAGGTAGTTAGGCAAGGTTTTTGGGGAAAACTTAAAATGTTAGCTGATACTAGAGCATAATTGAGGACTTGAGGTATTTAGTTTCAGGTATTCTGCTAATTATGTTTCATGTGAAGTTCATTCTTGATAATAGTATATATGAACCTGATTTTGGGGTCCTCTTATCTCAGGTCTAATCAGATTAGCATCATTTCCATCATTAACATGACAAAGTAATTCTCAGAGTAAATGGAATCTGCTGTTATTTTTCTTTTTTTGATTTTTGGCTATGCTATTTTCTTATGGTTCATTTGATATTAGTATTATCCTCAATTTGCTTTTTTGGGTAGAATCATCAAAGTTTTGCTATGTTTTGAGGATTTAATTAGAATCCGACAATAGGATGTAAAAAACTATTTAATTGGGTAAACATCCTTATGGTAGAAAGAATGAGATAAAGAAGATACACAACATATACTTGTGTCTTCTGAGATCTCATTTCACATTTCCTAAATAAGGAAAAATCAATACAAATAGAGACTATTCAAAATCAAGAGAAACTTTAGAATACTTGAGATGAATATGTATCTTGATTTTCAAAAGTGACAGAGAAGGCAAATTCCAGAAAATATAATCTCTGACTATAGATTCTGACTAAAATTTCAGAGTGATCTAGCATGGTTATTCTCAACCCAACAGGCTCAAGTTCTATAAACAATAAATATTTTACTTCTTGTGCTACCCAGAAACAAAATACCAAATCATTAATCATCTTCTCAATTAATCAAGATAATGCCCTCAACTGCCAGTATAAAGAGAAATTAAAGGAATTCATAAGGTATTTTAATAAGTAAATTGGTAAGCTATCACCATATTATAGACATGACAGTGATATACTGTATTTGCCTCTACTTATAATGAATCTGTTGTACTTAGACACATTGAACTCAGAGACTGACAAAGGAGTATTACAAATTCAAGCCTGTGCAACTCAGCAACTTAGGGGTACTTAGCCTCAAAAAGAAAGGGCTGGGTATGCAGCTCCATGTAAAGAACCTGGGGTTCAAGCCCCTGCTTAACACACACACACACCCCAAACAAAAGAGGCAAAGACATTGACACTTTTTTTGACATTGATACTTTTAAAACAGAGCTTACTTGGTAAGTACATTGGGACATATACACAAACAATGACTGTAAGTGAAATGACAAATATAGATGATATAATAAACAAATATCAAAAGTATAGTTGCTGACAGTTTTCATAGTGATGAACAATTCTCAGTAAAATTCTGAATAAAAAAGTATTATCTTCCCTCTACTTCCATACATGGTAGTTGCATTACCACAATCAGTATATAAAGCTATGTTCCAGATAGTCTGCATTTCTAAGTAATTTAGAATTAAGAGGTAGGATGAGATAATCATAAACAGGCTTTACTGACCCTGGGGCTTGGATCTAGGGCCTCATGCATGCTAGACAATGCTCTCTTGCTGAGCAACATCCTCAGACATTCAACTGTTACCATATTTAGTTTCTTTCAGTAGGTATTTCTCATTTGCTACTTCATGGGAAAAAATAAAAGGCTCTCCTTTCCTATATCTCAAAGTGATGTTTGTCTTTCTCTCTCTTCTACCTCAACAGTGCCCCACCTCTTTCCCTCAGCTAAATTTTACAAATTGTTTTGTGCTCTCTTGCTGCTTGTTGCCTGTCTACTCTTGCTCCAGTGCTTACCCTCTCTTTTTCCCTTTGTGACCAAATTTTTTTTTTTGCCTTTTTGAGGTAGGGTCTTGCTACGATGTTCAGGCTGACCTTGAGCTCATTTTGCAGCCCAGGTTGGTCTTGAACTTGTAATGATCCTCCTGCCTCAGCTTCCTGAGTGCTGGGATTACAGAAATGTGTCACCTCACCTGGTCCAAATTTTTTAAACAATAATCTATAATTTCACTGCTGCTTCAGCTCTAATGCATTATTCTGTACCATACATTGAACTTTGAAGCGTTTCACAATGCATTTGTTACTCAGTAAAATGAAATGAAATAAAGATAAAAAATAAACAGGCTTTACTGCTACACTAACGTCCAGTGGGAGATATAGAAGTCATTCAGGTTGCAAGGTAAGTCTTCATTGTGTAGGACTGGACTGTGCCTAGCAACAGATGTATAGCATTCCTGACCCTTGTATCTCTAATCATTGCAACTCTTTATACTAAAGAAACGTTATGTATGTTTCCAAAATTGCCTCTAGGTGGCAATATTATCCTTACTGTAAATTACCCAACCCCTAGCATAGACTGTATCAGGGTATTTTTGTAGCAAGTCTTTGTACATAAAAATAGAAAACATCTTAAAGTTCTGCTTAGGATCATCTCATCTTAGAAGGCACAAAAAGCAGGGACCAATGTAATATTCAGCATTCATTCAAGGTAGAAGAGTTATACTGACTATGTTTTGGTTTAAATAGTTTAAAAAACATTTAAATTTCAAAATAAATATAGCCCTGGTCATCACAATCCGACCGAATATTTCACTTTATCTGCTTAAATAATTAAAGCATCTGAGCTAACAGTAAAAAGGTCTTCATTTTCTGAAGGATCTTAGAATAAACGTTGGCCAAGAAATATGAGTTCCTACTTTTACCATAAAAGCTTTGGGACATTTAGTATATGAATTTCGCTCCCATGTGGGGATTCCAAACGCAATGTGGATAATGCCTTAAGATTGCACCCGCCTCTCTACATAAATTCTATCCAACATGTCAGGAAAAAAATGTGCTACATCCCTAGGGACAAACTTTCTTTTCTTAAAGGCCAGGGATCTCGCTACGTTGCTCAGCTTCACCTGACACTCCTTGGCTCAAGTGTTTCTGCTGCCTTAGCCTCCCCAGTACCACAGCCCGGGCCTGGCTAGAAAACACTTTTTTTTTTTTTTTTTTTTGAGATAGCATACTACCGTAGATCTAGGAGTAGAATAAAGGATTGCTCTGGACTTGGAGGTACTTCAATTCTTGTCCAAAACGCACAATAAATAGGTCTATTTCCTTTTTAAAGTTTGTACAGATTTTTAAAAATAGAACCCAAATATTTAGTGAATGATTTAAGATTTCCGATTAACTTAGCCCCTTTGCTAATTCAGGAACCACTTTTCGGCAACTATTCACAAAGTGCTTTCATTACTCGTTTCTTCAAGCTATTTCAGTATCAGTGGGAGAAATTAATATCCAGCGGGGTGCCTAATGACAACTCCCTCAATTCTGGGAGACTGGCTACTTTCTGAGCCAGGCACAGGCCCACGGGTACCAAAATGTAAATCATACTGCAAGAAAATTTAGGGAAACACGGGGGTCATCCTTGAGAGGTCTGGTTACATTCAATGCCTTTTTGGCCCTGGGAAAGCAGAGCCTAAGGTTGGTCAAGAAAGGAAATTGTGCAAGGTTAAGAAACATGGCTAACAGCCGAGCTGTGGCGCCCGCCATCGTCCCCCTGCGGCCACCCCCTTTCCTGGGAAGCTGAGGGAAAGCGGGAGAGGCGGTGTGCGGCCTGCCATACGCACCCTGCTCGTGGGGAATCCGCACCAGGCAGTCCACTATGCCTTTGTACCGCGCTTCGGGGCTGATCTGCTTGGAGGACGCCTGCACCTGCAACAGCAGCTTCACCCGCTCGATGGGCGCCACGGCCGTCTTGGATACGGCCGCCGCGACCCCACCAGCCAGCAGGTCTTTTCCGAAAGACGCGGCATCAAACAGCCGCTTTTCCGCCTTCTTCTCGGGCTTCTTCTTAGCAGGCTCCCGCTGCATCGTGAGGTGATGAATTTAAAATCCCACAGCAACAGTTTAAACCAAGGCCGAGACCAAGACTAAGCGAAGCAGGAAACCGCTTCAGCTGTTTCCTGGCGGCAAAGCTGCGCTAAGGACGCTGGGAGGCAAGCGCGCTCAGAAGGCAGCACCAGGAGTTGCGCAGGCGCGTCCAACGGCCTTCGGCCTTCGTGCGGCAGCTTCCTGACACGTGACTGCCGGCACGTGGCTTTTAACTGGGGGCGGCGGGGGGGCGGGAATCCTCGGTGCAGAACGCGCGCACGCACGCACGCACGCACGCACGCTCGCTCGCTCGTTCACTCGCTCGTGTGGATGCAAGGGCTCCTCTTGTGGTGCGCAGTGGCGGAGGTGGCGGGCTCTGAGGGGGAACAGTGCGGAAGTGGCTCTGAGGTGGGTTGTGTGTGAAGCAATTTAGCCCGGAAACTGGGACAAAGGAGTAAGTCAAGTGAATGTGAATAATCACATTTGATTTTGACTTCCCTTGGCAATCACATAAGCTTGTTTATTTTTCTTTTTTACTTCTCCCTTCTTTCCTTTCCCGATCCTCCTCCCTTGTTCTCATTCCCATTTGAGTATTTTCTTCCTATTTCACAATACCTATTATAAAGTTTGGTCCTTATTTACACTTTCCGTTTCTCACACCAGAGACACAATGCAGTATTTACACGTGTGTCCAATATATTTCGCTTAAGAGAATGGTCTCAAGGTGCGTCCATTTGACAAGAAACGTCTGTAGCCTACCGTCCTTTATGGCAGAACAGTACTCCATCCTATAAAAACCCCACATCTTCTTTATCCATTCACGGGCATTTGGGCTGTTTCTAAGATTTGACTGTTACAAACCGTGCCGCCGTAAACATGGGTGTGCATGTATCACTGTGATGTGATGCTTTTAATTTTTTTTTTGGCGGGGGGAAGCTAACAAGCAGGGGAGTAGCTGGGTCAAATGCAAGTTCTAGTGCTAGTTTTTTTTTTTTTTTTTTCCGGTACCGGGGATCGAACTTACAACCTTGCGCTTGCGCTTGCTGGTCAGGTGCTGTGCCGCTGGGCTAAATCCCCAGCCCCTTCTAGTGCTAGTTTTTTGAGGAATTTCTACCCTGATTTCCACAGTGCTTGCACCAGTCTGCACTCCCAGTAGCAGTGGAAAAGGGTTCCTTTTTCCCCACAGCCCAACCAAATCACATTTAATTTAGAAGGGCTTATTGTCTAGCCATTTTCTCACTGACTTTGCTGGTTGCTACCCCAGTACGATAGTTCATCCTGTTACCTTTTTTTTTTTTTTTTGAAACAGGTTTTTGCTATGTAGTCCAGGTTGGCCTTGAACTCTCAGCAATCTTCCTGCATCAGCTTCCCAACTGCTGAGATTACAGGCGTGCATCACTATGCCAGGCAAGTGTGTTATGGTATAACCTTTGTAATAGGGTCACTAGCAAAGAAAAAAAAAAAAGAAGCCATGTAGGCCGGGATTTTAGACAAATCTCGCAATATTTCGATTACCTTACATAAAACCAGGTGGCAAGTTCTGTTAGCATGTACTGTATTTGGAGTGGCTTCTTTTCCACAGTGGCTTATTTTATTTAACTCAGGATTGAATTTAGGCTTTCTGACCTGCTAGCTAGGCAGCTATACTACTGAGCTATATACCCTGCCTTTTTTGAGATAGGGTCTGAATTGTTCAGGCTGGTCTGGAATTTGTGATCCTCCTGCCTCAGCCTCTCAGGAAGCTGGGATTATAGCATAGGCCACTGAATCTGGTTTATTCACCTCTTAATGGATTATCAAGTGTCTATTTTGAATGTTGCTGGCAGATGAATTGTTCTGAAGCAGTTGCTTTAATCATCATTCCTAGGCTTAAAAACATTTAATCTATCACACTGTCTTCAAAGTGCTTTGTGAAGTCCACAGCAAATTCTAGAAATGTCAGTCTTTTTATCTGCAAAAATCTGAGAAGTGAAAATGTTCAGTCTCTTTTAAGGCGATCTGAAGCATTAACAAACATGCAAGGGAAAATCTAAAGAGGAATTAATTGAATCAGGTAAGACTTTTTAAAGTGCCAGGAGGAACCATCTCTAACTACAAGGAACATAAGTATCTCTAAGGACAGAAGTGTTCCTTCCTCACCCCTCCAACCCCCACATTTAAGTTGATAGTCAATAATATTATAGCATAATATTTTATGATATTAAGCTTATTTATGACATGTATTCATTGAAAAGTCAGACAGAAATGAAAGCACTTAATTAGAAATGAAGCTTTTTAATCTTAAGAAATCTGAATCAACTCTTCAATAGGTGGGACCTAAAATGTTTAATTTGCTGCATTACATTTTATTTACTGATTTATGGGAGGAAAAAAGTTCTAGCAATTTATGTTGATATGAAAACATAAAATTTTAGTACAGTCTCTGGGCCTTTGCAATATTTACTCATTTCTCCCTAGAGAACAGCATGGTTGAGCTTCCTCACAACAGGGCTGCAGTCTCATTAACAACCTTTTCACTGGCCACCCTATTTGCCATACTTCATCTTCTATTGTCTTGCTTTATTGTTTTCTCTTAACAGTTACTTATTTATCTTGTCTGTTGTCTGCCTGTGCCACTGGAAGTTATATTCCATGAGGGAAGGCATCTTTAGCTATTTGTTCACTGCTATACCCTTAGCATCCATAGCACTGCTTGGCAGAGGGTAGAAATTCAATACATATTTGTTGGATGTATGCATGAAAAGGCAGCACAAATGCAGACAAGTCTCCAAACCATTTTATTTAAAACTGTCAACACAGTATAAAAATATCTTTAATTATATAGAATATAGAAATAAAACTATGAAATTAAATTATTTCACACAGTTTGGTATATACAGTTAAAGATTTAATACCACTTAACGTTTTAAAATATTCAAAGTATAAATCCTTGTTCTCAAAACTGGTTAGTGATGAATATAATTTCTTAGTTTCTTTCCAACACACTGTACAGCAGGTGGTATGGTTTAATTGACTCCTTGGTTTTCATCAATGTATCTCTAATAATAATAAATAATAGTAATAGCTAATACTTTTATAGCACACAATATGCACCAGTCAGTAGAGAGAACACAACAAACAAGAAATAACATCCAAAGAAGACAAACCTAAGAAATTGGTCTTACAGCTTTCTCCATTTATATTAGAAATATAAAAAGGCAGGTACTGCAAAATTACTATCTTGTCAGTATACATCATCAGTAGTCCCTTGGCACAAGAAAGAAATGTTCCCTTGCTAGGTAGAGTTCTGTGACATGACAAGAAAACCTAAGAGAGAAAGGCGAAGGGGAAGAGAAAAAAGAGAAGGAAGGAGAGAAAAATGTAGTCTAAAATGTTCTTCTCTGAGGCTAAGAAATATATGACAGATAGTACTTGATGTTTTAAAAAGTACTACTTGTACATTTTTTTTCAAATAATCTTTGGTAGAAGAAAAAATTAAGAGGATGCTAATCTAATTTTAGTTTCCACTAAATAATGGTCTGCACTGTCACTTTATTCCCCTAAGTAAAGACTTAGGTGATAAATAGGCACTTTATTGTCTAATAATGAAACTGATCTACTTTCAGATGTAAATCTCAACATATTTGGAAAAAGTTTGCTAAATTTATTTGTAATGCTTTTTTCAATATTCGTTTAGAGATGAAAAGCAATGTTTAGTTTTTACTTGTTAAGAATGCAATGCCAGCTGGATATGGAGGTTGGTGCATGCCTGTAATCCCAGCACTCTGGAAGGGTGAGGTGGGAGGATCACAAATTCAAGCTTAGCCACGTCAACTGAGCAACTTAGCTAAACCCTGTCTTAAAAAAAAAAAAAAAAAAAATAGGGTGGGATGTAGATCAGTGCTGAAGACCCCAAGATCACCCCCTCCCAAAAGTAGTGCCTCTGAAACATGGAAAATACAGTACATATATATAATATAGCAAATGAAAATGATGCTCCTTTTGTTAAGATCAGCAGTCTGCTTTGCATTTTTTATTTCAGTCACTGAGTGGAGGTCTCATGATTCTTTGATGCCAGGAAAGTATTAGCAGATCAAAGTATTAAATGAAGCAAAAAGTTCCCTATATTAAAATTCCAAGTCTTAATTCTGCCAAAGAAAACCTGAGGTGATCAACAGTTACATTTAATAATATTTATTAGTAGTAGAAGTAGCTCATGGTGTTTTGGGGCCATATCCATAATTTTAATAAATACATTTAAAGAAAGTACCTTAATATACATATATGCACGCATAAGACAGTAGTCTACCACTTATTCAACATTGTGATCTTAAGGGAAGGATCTTTCAAGCTATATTTCTATAAAAGTTCAAGAACCAAGTTTCTTATCCTGACTTGGATGCCAAAATTAAGGCCCACAAGTCAAATGAGATAAATGTGCTGTGGTTTGCATCTTAAACACCTGGTTGACAATCTCAAAAAGTGATGACAAAGGGATAATACTGCTTCTAAGAACAAGTGATTCAAGTGTTGCAGACTATGTCTGGCAATTAGTTCAAACTAGTAGTCTCTTGTGAGGAGGGGGAAATGCAGAGACTGATTTTAGATGGGCTAGTATAAGTTATCTTCCAACATGTAAATTCTGAAGAATAAACAATCCAGTATTGAAAAGTTTTGAGGGAATGAGTCTACACGATCCACTGGGTAACTATCAATTAAAAATGTAATATTTGTTTTATCATTCCTTTCCCTTAATCTGCCAAATTCTCAGAGCCAAAGTAAATTCTCAATTTTTTTCTACTAAAAGTGAATTGAACTATTATTCATTTAAGTGCTTCCCCTTTAGAAAAACCCTATACATAATGATCCATATAAGAAGATAAAACTTAGTATTTTACCAAAGAACATGATTGTATTTTTAAAAGATTTACACACAACCTTCTTAAAACTCATGTTCCATCTAAAATATGTGTCTAGCTGAATGTACCTATTTTTTTTTGGTACTGAGAATTGAACTCACGACTTTGTACTTGCCAGGCAGGTGCTGTGTAGCTGAATGTACTTCAACAAAAAGAAACAACAATGAAAGTTTACAATTTAAAAAATACATCTTAGTAAATTTGAGCTTACTTAAAAGAGTGAATAGAATCAAATAAATAAAAGTAAGTTTATTTTTCATCTTTCCCATCTTCCCCTGCAGTTGAGGTATTTATTAAGATACTTTTTAAAAAAGTATTTTGATCAGTTAAGAAATCAGTACTTAAATATTACAAATTTAGGTACGATCCACTGTAGACAAGGAAAACAAAATAATAGCATATTTTACTTAGGATTTTCAAAACCCCAATGTAATAATCTCACTGGTACATGAAAACTCTGACCTCAGAGAGAACAAATATTTGCTCATGTTACCACATTAATTAATTACAGAACCTGGTCACCTCCTCCCAATATCTTGATTCTTTCACCAGATATCAATTAGTTTGGAGAAAAATAAACAACAAATTGGATATTTTCCCATAATAGGATTTTCACTTTTTATGTGAAACACCTCACATTATTTTAAATTAGACAATAAATTAACATTATGTACCAAGATGGCAATAAATTAATAATCCCTTATTTTGATCAAGTATCATCTCAAAACCTTCACAACACTACATAAGATTGATGCATCAAATTCAACAGCACTTCATATTAATATTTAGCAAAATTATGTCCAACATTGAAAAGTAAAAAGAAGCTAAACCTTTCCTTTGTATATAGATTTCAGCAAATCTAACACTATTCTATGCTATACACGTTATGACTATACATCATAAAAACACAGCTACAAGGTTAATCCAAAGAATAATTTAAAAGCCATTTCAATGGCAATTTCTGTGACCGAGTCATGAAAACAGACATAAAGTTCCTGAGGTTTTGGATGAAGAAAGAGTCTCCTGTAGGAAAAAAGAACATATTCATTTCAGAAATTAAAATGACAAAAAAACCCTTTCATTTTATTTTTTGTTTCTGAAGGCAATAGTAGTACATTTTAAAAAACACTAATTCATGTCTCTAGTAGGAAGAATGCAGCTAGATTTACTATATTTCTAAATAAACAGCACATGTGATTGTGAAACTTTTAGAGATCTAGTGCTCAATTGCAACCCCAACCCACTTATTATTGCAAAGTGCCAACACTGCAAGTAAACCTGAACAGACATTTTAGTTTAGAAAAAAACAGCTCATACATTACATCTTTTGTCTTAAAAGACAAACACAATAACATGTGTTCATAGTGGTATCATAGGTTCACCCCGTCTTAAGTTAATTATTTTTATAAAGTAATATAAAAAGTATAAAAATCCTGTTTTATCAAGACCTAATACCATATCCTTCAGTTTTAAAATATTAACTCTAATTATTATAGTATAATCAATAGCATCAGTATCATTTGAAGCACAATAGTTATTAGACATTTTATTGCCACTTTCTAAAGGTTATTATTAAAACATTAAATATATGGTGCCTCATACAGCCATAGATCTAGGATTAAAATTAAATTCTTGTTAACTCTAAATGAGTTAATTTTTTAACGTATTTAAACAAATACTAATGTATATAGAACAATTTAAATTGGTGGGCAGCTCTGTCTGATTTCCTTAAAATTTCTTTTATAGGCCTGGTGTGGTGGCGCACGCCTGTAATCCCAGCACTCAGGAGGCTGAAGCAGAAGGATTGTTGCGAGTTCAAGGCCTGGGCTACAAAGTGAGCTCAATGCCAGCCTGAACTGCATAGCGAGACCCTGTCTCAAAAAAAAAAGACCAAAAAAAAAAATTTCTTTTATGTACAGCTATGCCATCATAATTAAACATATTTTGATTCTTTCTATTCTATTTTGAGTGTAAAGCTCTACAACACTCCTGCATAGGTGTCTAACTGGTCTTCTCACCTCTACTTTGTCCTCTGTCCATACCATCTTACTGGCTGTTCCCAGCTTAATCTTCCAATAGCACAGCTCTGATTACACAGACTTAAACTTTTCCTGATGATTTCAGATCTTGTGGGTTATATATCACAGTCATACAGGCACTAACTAAAACAGATTCCTACTCCAGAGATTCTGACACAGGCATGTCTGATGACTAGGCATCTCTGTTTTCTGTACCACCATTCCAGGGATTGAACCCAGGGAGGCTGAACTATATTCTCAGCCCTTCTTTATTATTTTACTTTAAGGCATAGTCTTGCTAAACTGGCCTCGAACTTGTGATCCTCCTGGTTTAGTCTCCCAAGTAGCTGGAACTATAGGCATGCACATCACTAAGTTTTACAAGTGACTCAGGTAATTTTAAATTGCAAGGATCAGCACATGGAAATTACTGCTATAATATTTGTAAAATGTTTGTCATACAGCTTAGTACTACATGGTGGGTGCCTTTAACTTTAGTACTACTTAATTCTGTGCCTTTTCCTTTTTAGTTCTTTGTTGCAACATACTAAAGAATCTTTAGTATTTTCATCAAAATTCAGTTCTTGAGGCAATAAGAAAATAATAAAAGGTTGATATAGAGAACAACTGAGTAGCTACTTAATAGGGGAAGAGATTGTAAAACCTCAGGAGATGATCTACTAGTCCTGCTCTGAATATCAAAGAGCCAGATATGCAAAGATTAAGAGACAGAACATCCCACACAGAAGGAATAGAAGAAACAAGTCTTGACTGGTGGCAGACTAGTTGATTCACAGTGGACAGAGGAGGAGAGGGAGAGGCTACAGAAGCAGAGAGATGGGTAGGAGTCAGGCTGAGCTGGATCTTGCAGGGGGAGAGAGAGAGGAAAGGAAGAAAGACAAATGGAAGAAAAAGGGTAAAAGAAAGGAGAGAGAAGAAAAGGAAGTCAAGAGGGGAGAACTGGAGAAAAACTGTGGAATTATTTTGTTAATGATTTTGTAAGATAACAACAATCTTTTCTGAATAGAAAAGATGGGAAGGATTTAAAGGAACTATTTAGGAAATAAAATAAAATTATAAAGTATGTTAAAATATTGTAGGTAGAGTAATAATTTCATGCTGTTGTAATTTGTATCCAGATGTACCCCCAAATCCTCATGTACTCATAGGTGGGGCTTTTTGGAGGTTGCTGGATCTAGATTGTATGAGTATGGATTAAGGGTGTGTGAATATGGATTAAGGACTTGATAACTAAATTAGCCCACTGATGGGCTTATCATAGTTCTAGGTGTGGGTAATAGGAAACCCCACCTTGGGTGTGGGTAGCACCACCCAAAAGCCTGGTCACCTAGATGGGATAAAAGGGAAAGGGAGGCTTGCTGCTGCTTTGCTGGTTTTTGCCTGCCACACCATGAACTGTTTCTCCTCTGGGATGCCTCTGCCATCCCACTCTGCCCTTGGAGCCATCTGACTATGGACTTAAACCTCTACAGACTGTAAGCTGAAATAAGTCTTTCCTCCTTTAACTTGTGGGTACTAGGTCTTAGTGATAAGAAAAGTAAGACATTAATTTTAAAAATTAATTTTAAAAAACAATTAATTTTAAAAATTAATGCTGGTTGTGGTGGCACATGCCTATAATTCTAGCACTCAGGAGGTTGAGGCAGGAGGATTGCCGTGAGTTCAAGGCTACCCTGGACTACAGAGCAAGAACCTATCTCAAAATAAAATTAATCTCCTTTACTACTTTCCTTTCACTTTTTTAACATTTTATTTTACTTTCAAATACTTTTTTTCTACTTACCCTACTACCCAGTAAGCCATAACTGGTGGTGTTTTTTTCTGATCAGTCCAGTTTTCAAGTGAGCATTCGAACAACACACCATGTTCTTTCACAGGATTCAAAGAAGATACTGAATTTGTAGAATCCAAATCATCTGTGCCATTTAGTGCTTTCTTTTTCTGTAAATTAGCAGACATAATTAATATTAACTGGTATGAAGTGTTATTTTAAAAGTTTTTCACATATAAAATTTAAATTGGCGGATGCTAATATGTACATGCCTGCAATGCCATTTACTTTCCCTCAAAATTTAGTTTAACTACTGTTTCCCAGAGGTTCCTTTGTCTCTTTCAGGGAACAATGAATTAACCCCACTGAATGGAGTTAATTTACAACCCTGTATTATTAATATTTACATTACATTATATTAGCAGTGTGTAGGTCTCTGTCCTCCAGAAGACAGAAAATTATTGTCTTTTTTCCAGGACAGAAGCAATATACTTTCTGCTTTTTTTCTTTATCTTTTCTTTTTGTATTATGAATTAACCCAGGGCCATCACACCGATCTATAGCCCCAACTTCCCTCCCCTCCCCTCTCTTCCCTTCCCTTTCCTGGCATTCTTCCCCTCTGAATTCTACTTGGAACTGTGCACAAGTGTTCTATCTCTTCCAGAAAAACGCCAAAAGTTTTTGTCATAGTCTCATCCCAGACATGATCTGGCCCTGCTACTTCTGAGACTTAATCACCCTTTATTCTCTCATCTCAGTCCACTGTAGCATTCCCCCCCAGCCCCTCCTACTTCTTTGGCTTTGCACTTGTTCTTCCCTTGTGTGGAGGTTGGGCCTCCACATAGCCACATGGCTAACTCCCTCACTCAGTCTCTGTTTAAACATTATCTGACATGATCAGAGGATCCTTTCATAATAGTAACTCCCACCTGTCAGCCTATGTTTAGTTTCTTTTGACATCCTTTCTGACATAATAATTTACTAATTTCCTAGTCCTCTCCATTAGGAAATAAGCTATAGCAGTCAGTTTTGTTCTCTGCTTTGAAGACCTTGAAGAGTATTTGGTGCAAAGTAGGTACTCCAGTATTTAAAGAATATGCAAAAAGCTAATTTAAATTACTAAGTATTATGAAATAAATTAATGAGCTATTCCCTCATAGAATTGACCAGTTATGTTAAATAGAGAAGGAGGAACATAACCCAAAGCATATGGGAGTACCTAGTTAAACATATCAGTTTTGCTTAACAACAATTTCTGAAAATTTGAAAAAGAAATCCTACATGCAGAATTTTATTGCTATAAAGCCCTGAGAGATGATATCACTCATTCTGCTTACTTTATTACTGAGGAAATTGGTAGAGCTAAGGCTCAATCTAGGATTCCTTATTCCCACCCTAAATACCTCACAAATTTGGCATCCTTATATACGTATTTCTCTATACATTGAAACCATCTTCAGAGTTTGTTTTAGGGAGGGTGAGGATTGAGGAGGAGGTTTGGGGAGGGGGTGGGTGTTTGACCAATTACTAGTAAACCTCTACATGTTTATCCTTTTCACAAAATCAGCATCTGTTTTTCCATTTCATCAAAACAAGCTAATAGATATTTTAATTATATATAGTATTACTACTTACCCAGCAGGTGCAACATTAAATGAAATGTGATCCTGGATTGAAAAGCAAGCAAGCAATCACCAAGTACTAAAATATTTTCAGTAGTATTCTGTCTGTAGCTATACCTTAACACATCTTGATCCAAAATACTTTATGTTATTGGTAGAATACTTAAAACATTATCAGTGTTATTTTAGGAACTAACTAGTAGATATTATTGACTAAGTAATGGTTGAGTCATAGATCTCAATTACAGGAGGTCAGTTTACTTACAACTATATTCTACTTTGCTACAGAAAACACAGGCCTGCCATTTCCTGATATAGTATTCTAGGACAAAGCTTTGAGGTTAAGTACTATGAGTATAATCTTTCTGGCACCCAAATTAAATTACCTAACTACGTGAAAACACTGCTGAACACACTGACTACATAACAGAGTGTTTGACATCTGGAAATTATCTTAGCAGAAAATTTTACCAATATACCTATAAAACGGTATTTACCTCTTCTATCAATGCCTTTTGGAAAAGTGCACGAATGGAAAGACAACACTGATGGAAATTTTTTATAAGTTGAGAGTGCACAGAGCCACCGAGCTGTGCCACCTCTTCATGAGTAGGTGTGATGAAGATTCCTTGTACTGTTTCCAAGGCAACATAGTGGAAAAGCGTGTTCTCAGGACCAGATGTCAATCTTGGGAAAAACAGAGAGAGACAAGGGAAAGAAAAAAAGAAATTTAAGTAAATTTAAACTTATTGCTTCATTTTGAATTTTGTAGAGTTCTTACAAGTTTTTACCTACAAGTAATGGAATTAGGGAAGGGACAAACATTTAATTCTCTCTTTGTCCTTAACTAAAGTATTGGTGAGGATTATTATTCTATTAATTTAGGCAAACACTACATGGGTGAGGATGAATAAACACCAGTTCATTTGCTAGTAACTTAACTGTCCCTTTGCTAAACAGCCCACATTGGCTAAGTCTCTCTTTTTCCATGCTTAGTAATGAATAACGTGGCTGACATCAGGCCTAGATCATAAGCAAGGTATCAGTCTAGGGTAAACCACATATAAAAATATCTTCCAGCAAACTAAACAAATTTAAATCAGTAGCATTTAAGTCATTTACCATGAGAGTAAAATTGATGATCCTGATGAAATACAAAACTATTATTACCAATTACAAAGTTGGATTAGTATTTTATAATACTGTGGAAAAAATTGGTAGTGTGCTACCACTTCTCTTAATTACAACCTTCCTTCTCTCTTATGTTTTCTTACTATTTTGATTTTTCTTCTCTGTCTTTTTCCCCCTACTTAGTCTCAGATACATGTGCAGCACTTATAAATACTGCTAATTTCTACCAGTAGTAAGAAGAACTAAAAACCAGTAACAGCAACAAGAAGAAAACAAACAACAACAAAATAATGATTACCGCCCCTCATGTGCCAGCGTAGGGGTTTTAAAGTACCATATTTTAAATTCTCAGAACCCTGAAAGATATTAAATATTAAAATCCTCATTTTAAGATGGGGAAATGTTTAATGGACTCGGATTAGATTGAAGTCACATAGCTAACTGCCAGAGCTTAGCTGACTGAAACTTGCTCTCCTGTACCTTAGTTTTTCCTCTCCACGGCTGGTTTTTTATTGGCAGTCTTTAAATATATAGACAGAAATTCCCCACCTGCATCTCAAACACTCAAGTTTACCATTCTAAGTCTCCTTAGAAAAAGGCTATCTGTACTAAAAATTACCTTCAGTTGATTTTTTCTCCACCAGTCATAGCACAAAGGCAAGGAAAAGGCATATTTTAACTCTTAGCCTTGGTACTACCTCTATCATTATGCTAGTTAAATTCCTGTTAACCCCTTAGGTAGGCAGCATGATCCGAATACACTTAGACCAGAGATAGGGAGGAAAGAAAATCATTTACAAATTATTCTCACATTACTTCACAGGGTAGCTTGCTCATTAACAACTGGTAGTTGGCATCTTTCAAGAATTAAAAGCCTAACTAATCAGGATGAAAAGAATCATAATGATTCAAAAAGGAAAATAATTTAAAATACACATTTTAATTCAGAGGCTTCAAACTCAAAAAAAGGTAAATAATAGAAATTATTCTTTAAAATCTATTAGTAAGATTCCTTTGGGGAGAAGTTGCAAACAATATTTTTGTTATGTATATTTTCTTTCAAAGACAAACCACAACACAGTGAGCAAGTTTAGCTCTTGAAAACCATAATTGCTCAATGTATATTAGCTGAAATTTTAAAAATCAACAGACAAGCAATTATCCAAAAGGATAACAAAAGATTTGTATCCCCCCACCACAAAAAGCAAAAATTAGAACAAAACAAAACAGATACAATCAGATTTGTTCTTCAGAAAGGTTGCTGTTGCTGCAGAGAATGGATTCAAAGTGGACTGTGAATTGGGAGGCTGCTGCAATAAAACTAGGGAGGGAAAATGGGAGCTTAAACCAAGGTGGTATCAACAGAGGCTGACTGGACTTAAAGATACTGAAATCCAGAATGGGGAAGACTTAGTTACTGAAGGAAGTATTTGGTGTGTATGTATTACTTTAAATGTATATTTTTACTTTATAAAAAATATAAACATGTAGGTTAGAATAATATACCATGTTTTCAAAATGTACTACATAGTATGGAAATACCTTTCCAATGAGAATGAGAATAAATACAATTTATTGTCAATGAGAATAAATACACATTTCTTGGCAACTCATAGGTCAACCAATGAGTTACACCACATGTGAACTTGTTTAAGCTACTGAACTTGAGATTTCACATTATGTTTACTAGAGATAATAACCAAAATAACATACATACTTTAAAAATATGGTAAGAAGGTAGTAAAATTTCAGAGTAGTAGCTCCTGTTAATTGGAACACTAGGGTTTTTTTTTTTAATTTTATTTTTAAATTTTTTTTGTCTTTTTGAGACAAGTTCTCACTATGCAGTTCAGGCTGGCTTTGAGCTCACTTTGTAGTCCAGGCTGGTCTTGAACTCACAATGATCCTCTTGCTGCAGCCTTCCGAGTGCTGGGATTACAGGTGTGCGCCACCACGCCTGGCAACACTGGGGTTTATAGAGGTGATATGGTTCCATAAAAGGTTTCATTCAGATTTTTAAAAATATTTTTCACTATTAAAAGTTGATCATTCTTATGTGAAAGCATTAAGTAAACCTAGTTTGTGCTCTAACTTTAAAAATATTTTTGTTACTGACAACTCTTACAAACTTGAACTTATACAATATTTCAATGAGTAAGAAATTTGTAGTGATGCACTCTTTGTGCATGAATTCCATTTGTACATATCTAGTTGCTGAAGTAGAAGTGTCCAACTGAGTTTATCATACCAATTAATTCTACAAATAACATCATAATTAAGCACCAAGCAAGACTTAGGCAGACCTGCTTGTCAACTACATAGTAATTACAAAAAAAAGAAGTGAGTAAGTGACATTTTATATTGTTGGTAATTATGGATGGCTTAAGTTGCTAAAAATTGTCCTTCACTTCATCTCTTTTACCTCAGAATTCTCTACTGAATATAAATTTAAGGTTTTATCTATTTTCTAAGGAAGTGCTAATAAGAGTGGTTCTACAGGACAGGTTTCCTAGCACATAGATGCTGCACACAGGGAGGAAGTTTAGTGGGGGTACTTTGGGAACAACAGTTGTGGCAGAGAGGTGGTGGAAGCAGGATTGAGCAGAAGTTATTGAACAGAGGTTGGCAGTTGCAAAAAAGATCTCAGCAGACACCACTAGGAACTATGGATTATGGTAGCCTTTCAGAGTTGCTTGAATTAAGCAATGAGTCAAGCCTTTGTAGTTACTTATCAATCATTAGAGGTGGGCTACTTGCAAAGGTAGGAACTCAGCTCTGAGAAATTAGCAGCCATCACTCCCAAGCAACAGGAATGAATACATGGGGCTAAAGGATAGCTGGAGATCCAATAAGGAGCCTAAAATTAGTAAAATGTGATTTAAAAATTATATCCGACATACAAAGGGAAAGTTGCCTGTGGAAGAGAAATACAAGGAGACTTTTACATTTTAAAATACTACTTTGTGTGCTTTTATCTTTTACAATATGAAAATATTCACTTTGCTAAATGTGCAGTGAAACATTACACAAATACCATAGCTATTATCTCAAATAAGATATCATAATTATATTTGTTGAATAATCTCTGAATGTTATAGAGTTGTACTTTCTCACTGTAAGATTTACTCAAAGACAAAGTGAAAAAGAATACTTAGAAGGAATTTTCTTACTTCATTGTGTTATATATTTCTAGTTCTTTTTCTGAAAGATCCTTTTTCGAATTTCCCAAATGAAATGGATTTGAAAGAGTAGACTTCTTTTTAGTGCCCTGAAAAAGTTAAGCAGATCAGTTTATATCTAAGAATAGAATCGAACAGCAGAAATGATTTAAAAATTAAGAACTCCTCTAAGGGAACGACTTAGTATTTTGCAGTGTTTCTATTGAATATTTTTGATGCTAACTTGTACCTCTTGGCTTATCCTTCACTAACAAGAATCCGGGAGCCATGTCATGGGAGGGCATGTAGGTGTTCCCGAGAACTTCCTATCACAGCCATTATGGAGTCATTACCAAATTTTATGTTTACATACTTGTCTATCTCCCTAGATTCTGCACTCCTCAGAGTCTTACTCATTTTTGGATCTCCTTTGAGTAACATGGCTCTCAGCACTTAGTAACTATTCAATCAACATTTGTCGCATGTCTGAATTGTACAAATTAGTTGTTTCTCTTAAGAGCTATCTATAGCTTTGTTATTCCTAAATCTATCCAAATCCTCTTAAGACTGTATTTCCTACCGAATTCACTTACTGAGATAATGGGTACAGTTATGATGTGCGTACTTTGTAAATGTATTATGTTTAGTGCTCCAACCCTTATTTTGTTTTTGGAATTCGGAGACTGACTCTATGGTTATTTATGGTGTGCTACTCAGAATCTCTTATTTTATTGGTGCTTCTTCTCAGACTCCATCTTATTCATGTCCAGGATCACCTCCCTACACCTACATAGGCAAGTTTCAAAAATGTTTTGAAAACAAAAGTATCATTACTATAAGTATTTATCACAGGATGATTACTTTGCTGATCACTTAAATATTTTATGGTATTTTCATGAAAACAATCAAGAAAACAAAAAAAAAATCTGAAGAATGAACATCTTTGCTTTATAGCCTCATTTTGAATCAGTCTTTCAGTTTGGAGACCAAAACTTCACAAGTGTAGTTAAAATAAGTACTTATCTATAAAAAGTAAGTGTATACACACACACACGTTCAAAATTCTGATTCTCTTGTTTCACTGAATATTTTATTGGCTATTTAGTCAGATGAACACCCCAAATACCCCACAGCTAGGATGCTTTCTATAATCTCTGTGAATTGAGAATAAAGAGATGAATATGAACAGCGAGATTAAAGAGTTTCTCCACCTACATGTCCTATTAAATAGGTACTGGATGTCAAGAGGCTCCTGTCTTATTACTTGATATTTGTTTCTCTTTTTGGTTCTAAATCTTTAGTTTGCCAATAATGACTAAAACCACCACTATTTCAAATAAGGAATGATCTACCATTAAAACACTCTCTTACAATTATAATGAATGAAACACACCTTAAGCAAGGCCCCACTTTCTTCTGAACCATCAAAGCCCTGAGATTCTCTTTGCTTCAGTACTGCATCAGGTGTAGGGTGAGGGCTAAGGCCAGTACCTTCTCCACCTTCACAACCATTGTCAGGTCCTCCACTGCTTTGGGAGGGACTAGGCTTCCGTGTCTTTAAAGAATAGTCACCAAAAAGGGTTCTTCTGCACATTGGAGAGGCTGTAGCTTTGGTAGTACCTTGTAGCCTACTAAGGATAGGTGAAGTGGCTAAACCATCTGTTTTTTCCCGTGGACCGGCAAGGAACCAGTCTGCACAAGACAAACAGGGGCTTGGAGAAGAGGCTAGCCGTTCATTTATGCGGGAATCTGTTCCTTCTAGCTGGTGAAGAGTAGTTCTGATTTGATCTACATATATACAGTCTGGGCCAGGATTCCCAACAGCTTTGGATGCACAGCCTCCAGCTTCTAGTAGTACACATAACATATAATGTCTCTAGAAAAGAAAATTGTTCACAGAGGTTTATCATAAAAATGTGCACATGTAACATGCATGTATAAATGTATAAAAACAAAGGACATATAGGCATTTGTCATAATCATTCTCTCTTCTTATCAATGCTTCTTGATCCCAGTTGAAAACAGTCTCACACTATTTTATTCTGATAAACCATCAACCACTTCTCTCGGTACATGGAATTCTCTAAGATATCTTTCAAAGAGCCTCAATTATTAGAAGTCTTTTTATTTGAAATTATATATTTATTCCATTTGGATTCTATGTTCTTTTTATGTCTTCTTCTATTTACCCAAACAAGCCAAAGGATAATATTATAGGAAGGGGATCAAAACATCTTCAGGGGGATAGAGCTCAGTGGCATAACCGCCTGCCTGGCAAGCGCAAGGTTGTGAGTTCAATCCCCGGTACTGCAAAAAAACAAAACAAAACAAAACAAAAAAAACCTCACACAAAACATCTTCAGAACCTGCTAAAATTTTTCTTGGATTTTATAAATATTTCTTCATTGAGTTTTAAATGGAGATGAAAGAAAAGGAATGAAAGTGTATATAATAGTTTTTTAATACTGATATTCCATATACTCATAGCTTTAACTGAGCATGTTTGTAAATTTAGAGAGTAAATACATGGCCAAAAATAAAATCAACAAAACCCAGGTAAACTTACCAGTCCAACAATTAGCAAAAAATATCTCCCTTCAGGTTCCTGAAAGACTTCAGTGTTTGAGGCTGAGGAAGGTTGGAGGTGATGATGAGGAAACACTTCTCTCCATATTATCAACTGACCAATTCTTTGTTTTGCTGCTAAAGGTAGCAGCCCATAGTAGCGACAGTAAAGAGCAATCTCAATAAGGTCATCCTTAGGCAAATGACTGCATATCAAGTAGCCCTTCAGTTTAACCACAAAGAACAAAAGTCAACTTTAGTTGGCTTGAAGTATTCTGGTTTCAAATACAAGAAATGAAGATATAGCAAAAGTAAAATTTTTTTGACATCAAACTACAGAGCAAATGATAACTTATGTAATCCTTCAGGTGGACTTTAGCATAAGGCAAGATTATCTCTGGGTAGTGTCAGGTAGAACTAAAAAAAGTGAATTATCAAAATAAAAAGTGAAGAAGCAAGAGCTGAAATGAAAAGACTGACTTTTTACTGTGTACATGTTATAGATCATGTTTAAATATTTTTTAAATGAAAATACTTAAATTCATTTGATAATTTGTTTTACATTTTTACATTAAATCAACTACTTAATGTTATGAGATTTGGTTAAAAGATGCATGGGTATTTCTGAAGATAGGATAAAAAAACACTGTTACTAAAGGAAACTAAAAGTATTGCTCCTCTCTTACATACTTGGCTCTTTTGAGTATTGTTTCTCATTTATGCATTTGAAAGTGCTTCACAATGCAATGAAACTGTAAGTATTTATTACATTGCTAAGTGTGTAAGTACAAATCTTGTTTTTAAGATCTTAATCTTATGGTACTTACATTCACAGGAAAAGAGATAAAGGTTTGTTTTTTTTTCTTTCTTTCCCTGAGACAGGGTCTTGCTATGTATGCAGGCTGATCTTGAACTTGCTTATGTAGCCCAAGCTGGCCTCAAACTCAAGGCGATCCTCCTGCCTTGGCCTACTAAATGCTGGGATTATAGGCATGCGCCACCATGCCTGGCTAAGGTATTCTTCAAGTATATAAAAGTTTGAGAAAATTTACTTTAAGTCTATGGCCATAGCAGTTAGATATTTATAAAAATTTCCAAACTTCAACTTACCCTGTAAAATAGAGAAGACCCCAAAATTGTATATAGCCGTCTCATGTCATAGTAATCTTCAGACTAGGGGGAAAAAAAAAATCAGTGGATTTACATCATGGTTGTGTATGTATGTGTGTTAAGCTGTAGTAGTTAAAATGCAAAATATGTTCTTTAGAACCAACTTTTCCTAGTGCTTTCTTTAGAAATCAATAGACCATAGTATTAGGGTGAATATAATATGAATATATATTTACTTGACTGAGATTTTTGGTAAAATTAATTGATTTTTGGTTCTTATAAAACACTTGATTAGAAACATCTAAGAATGGAACATAAAAATTTGTTATTCTATGAGAGATTTCTGAAAACAAATTATTTAAAATAAAAAGCTTCTATATATCATTTAAAATATTAAATATTAAAAAGGAAGGAATTGTGGGGCATGGTGGTGCATACCTGTAATCCCAGTTCTTGGGAGGCTGAGACAGGAGGATTGCTGCAAGTTCAAGGCCAGCCTGTGTTACATTAGTGAGTTTAAGGCTTGCCTGAGCAACATAATGAAACCGTGTCTCAAAAACACCAAAAAATAAATAAACTATAAAAAGGAAGAAAGAAAGGAGGGAGAATGAAGGGGGTGGGGAGGGCAGGCAGAGATACAACTTGGTGGAAAGTACTAGGTTCATCCTCTAGGGCTACAAAAAATGGGGTGGAGGAATATGACTCAGTGATATAGCACTTGCCTAGCATGCTCGAGGGCCTGGGTTTAGTCCCCATATTGCAAACAGACCAAAACAAATAAAAACTATTTGATAATCCCAAGTTAAATTCTATTTGATAATTCTAAATTAAATTCAGATCTAGCACGTTCTAACTTAAATAGGTCCTCACTTAAGTGGCAGGGTCTTAATTAATCATTATTATATCTCAAGAAGCATTCATAAGCACACCAATATAGTTAGTTATTTTTTATTCTTTTACATTGTGTAACAAATATTTTCAATCTTAAGGCAAACAAAATAGACTTTTTTCAGTGTCAAAACAGAATCTTAATGTTGCGTATTTCAAAATTAAGTCTACTTGGGAAATATTTAGAATAATGACTGGTTTATAAAATAAGAAGTCAACTTTGAGCCTTTCCTATTCCCCTCCTGCTCTTACCAGTTCTGCAAAGTCTGCAGCCTCCAAGTCACTTAATGCTGTGTCTAATTCCATCTATGAAAAAATAACCATAAACATTTGACTCTTATTAGGTAGTTTTCAACAATGCTCATAAAAAAAGTGCTTAATAATCAACCACTTGAAGAATTGAGTATCTTTCTTTTTGGCATCACATTAAAAATGTCTCAAAATGGAACATCTTATTTTTAAGCTTTCAATGATAAAAACATTTATTTAACATATAGGCATTTTTAACTAAATCTTGATTATTTCAAAATAGTCTTCACCAACTGTGTTAGATACAAGACAGTTTATGAGGTTAAAGAACAGCTTTCTAGTATTGTTAGAAATATTTTACCCATTACATTTCTTAAAAGAAAATGAAAATCAGTATTAATGTAGCCAATCTATTTTGAGTTGTTTTTATTTTTCCATTTCCTGTATATTTCTCATCAGTTGGATTCTTGAAAATACCAACATTCTTCCTTGTCTCTCTTGGACACAGTGTTTTGAATAAAAGGGTTGTCAATCTTTATTCATAGATTAAAACATGAAGACAAGTGTTCCCCTGGAATCTGGCACACTTTAAATATCCCACAGAGTTATTAGAAAAAATCCTTTACATAGGATTTGCCTTCTGTTTCTATGGAAATTGCTTGAACTTTTCCTTGAAGCATTCACAACTTAAAAACTGTGAATTTAATCTTTGATGTATGCATACATACATATATACATATATTGAAAATGACAGGTAATTGAAATTTGTAGCATGCATACTATGTGTAAATAAGAATCCTTTCTTTTTTCTCTCTTCTCAAGGTCAAAACATTCTCTGTAGGACTAAGCTTCACACACTGTCTGACTGATGACAAAAGCCTTTGAAACATTAGTCATGCTTTTCAGTACTTTTCATGCAGTATGACTTATAACTCATTTGTGACCAACATTTTTTTTGCATCTAGCAAATATTTCACATTGTCTTTTTCATGGCGGTGTATCTTGTGAAACACTATGGGACAAAGATTATAGATGAGATATTTTTTCAACTCTAAAACTGTTTAATGAGTTGCTATTTCTGCTGTGTGACAGGCTAAAGTATAAGATTAACAGAAATGTTTATTCATATTAGTAAAGAGAAAAAATAAAATATTTTTCCTCTTCACTATTCCAGTGTACCCCAGAAAAATATGATTAAAAAGAGTATCTGTTAAATGAGGAAATTTGCAAACATCTGGAAAGAATCTGAAGTGAGACATCATATATTAAACTCAGAATAAGTAAGTCATTTTCAAATTAAAGATAACTAATTCCACGTAAAATCTGCCAGGCATAGTTACCTTAAACACATGTTTTTAACTGGAGTTCTTTGGCATTAAATTTCTTAATATTTGCCATTAGAAAGCAGTCAATGAAATCTATTTTAAAACAATGAGAAATCTCAAAGAGAAAAATAAAGTATGTAAGTTCTTTGAGTTTGTTGGTAAAATAAAAACTTTGGGAACTTTTTTATTTCTGTTTAAACATGTAAAGAGCCTGAGGTTGCCACTCTGTCCTAACAAGTATAAAGCTAAACAGAATAAAAATCAGTAACTCCTGGATCTGTAAGAGAGGTAAGATACAGTAAACTTCTGTCCCCAAGATGGGGGGAGAGATGAATTCAGGGATCCATGACTGGCTAGAACAGAGATGTATGTGTAGAAACTGGAAAGAAAAGCAATGCCAAGACAGGAAGACCCAGATTGCAACTGACACACTGGAGGCTCCATGTTAAAAAGTTAAAAACTGCAGGGAAACCTGAGCTTCACCAGTACATATGGGAGAAAAATCCTCTCATGCTTCTGGCAGGTAAAGAGTGAAAGGAGCCTTTCTGAAATACTCTTGAGCACTGTGTTCTTCACAAAGCCAGCACTCAGGACAAACTAGTTAACAATAGCCTGAAACAGTGGGGTATAATTACAGCATAACGGACCTAGAGGAGGACAATATAACTGCAGTGAGCAACAGCCTTTCACACCAAAAAAGAAAAACACCCTAACCTTCTACGTGAAAGAAGGAGAATACCCCACTCAAGCTCACTCTAGGCATACGTACTGTTTCACAAGAGGAAGGAGAATTAAAAATTTATGCCCACACAAAGAACTATATAAGGATGTTTATACTTGGAAGAAATCAAGATGTCCCCCAGTAGGCGAATGGATAAATAAACTGGCACATCTAAACAAAGGAGTATTATTCAACACTAAAAACAAGTGAGTTATCAAGGCATACATCCATAATACTAAGTGAAAAAAGCCAGTGTGAAAAGACTACATATTATATGATTTCAACTCTATGACATTTTGTGAGAGAAAAAACTCTAGAGATAGTCAAAAGGCAGTTGTTTCCAAGGTTTAGAGAAAGGGAGAGATGAAAAGGAGGGACAAGTAGAGTGCAGAGGATTTTTAGTTGGGAAGTGAAACTACTTTTGACTCTACAATGGTGGACAAATGTGTCCAAACCCATAGAGTGTATACCACAGAATAAACCCTCATATCAACTATGGACTTTGGGTGATTTTGAAGTATCCATGTAGGTTCATAAACTAACAACAAAAAATGAAAACAAAAGATGATTTTTCATTTTAATTAAGAATACTATTTGTTAGTCATTGTGTCCACTTTTTTTTTTTCCTTTTGGTACCAGTAATCAAACTGAGGACCTCATGCTTGCCACTCAGATGCTGTGCCACTGAGCTATACCCCTGGCCCATTGTGTCCACTTTTAATCTTTATACAAACATATCCTGCCCTTGTGTAACAAAAGCCTGTCACAAAACTCCAGAGTAAGACATACAACTTAAGATTTCTGAAAAGAATTCTGTCTTTTCTCTCATTGCTGAGACAAAGTACCCGACACCCAAAGTTAAAGGGGGAAAGGTTTAGTTAGCTCTGTGTGTAGAGGTTTCAGTCCATAATTTGTGGGTTGCAATGCAGGGTGGCATGGCACACATTGCAGAGGAGACATAGTTCATGGCGGGAAGATAACAAAGCAACAAGGGATGACCACAGCTCTTTCTATCCCTTATATCTTATCCAGGCTACTTAGGGTGGGTAGCACTCACACCCTTTATCCTATTGCCCTTGTTCCTAGCATTGCACCATGAATTAATTCCAGCATAACACACTCTCGATCCAGCCACCTCTGAAAAAGCCCCATTTGTGACTGCATAAGGCTTTGGGGAGACATCTAAATACAAGTCATAACAAATTCTAAGCTTAGACAACGCATTTATGTATGTATGTATATATGTATGTATGTATTTATTTGTACTGGGAATCAAACTCAGGACCTCACACTTGCCAGGTAGGAGCTGTACTGCTGAGCTATACCCCTAGCCCTACAAAGCTTAAATTGAAAGTAAGATGAGAGAACTCATTTTTATTTCTAAAGAATCATTTGTCTATTTACTGTACTAGACCTCCTACTTCATCAGCCAATTGCCTCTTTCATTCTTGCCTATAGTACTGAAACTTACAGAAAGCCTAAGGGGGAAAGAAAGTAAACAATTATAAAGTGACAGGTTCTGATTCTTACTTATGATACCTCAGATTACCTTGATTTCCTGTGGAAGTGGGAGCCACCGAACTCCAGGGAGATTGTCTAAAAGTACTGCACTGGCAGCATCATACTGTTGAACACTGGGACTGGCACTAGAATGTAGTTTAGCAGGCTGAAGTGCTCTTTGAAAGAACAAGTTGAAAAAATGATCCAAACGGGGAACATTCTCAACCTGGCAGAAGGCACTTAAGAAATGAGAGCTGTAAGTTAGAACAACATATGGAAATGGTGGTCACTTTTTTTGTATGCCCCTAAGGGAACTGGCTCTTTCCCAACTACTATACTCTTCCTCCCTCCACTTAGTAAGAATCATTGCTATAATGTTACTAATGGAGTGTTTAAGAAATTCACCCTGTCTGTATTTTTTTCCCCTAAAATACACTCACAAATGTACTGAGTAGATCATACTATGGAACATTTATGGCAAAGCTTTTAGAGCTTTCAAGATAACAAATAGCTGACTGCAGCATGAGTGCTACAGGTTCGCCACCACTGCTATAAGAAGAACAACACGGCCCAAACAAATTGCATATGTACAAGAGAAAGGGCTCAAGAACCGGTTTTATTTTTGTAAAAAATTAAGTTGCTTTTACCTCTGATTATCTCTTAATCATTATAATTCCCAATATCTTTCAGGCAACGTAGGATAATAAAGAGATTCTGAGCTTTGTAATAAAACAACTGGCTTTTAACCTTATCACTGCTCTTTTTAAGTAGCTATCAGAACAAATCACCTATCCTCTCTCTGAAACTTTGGTTTCCAACTCAATACAAATTGGGTTAAATAAATCTAACCCACATGCAAACTACCTAACACAGAATAAATACAAATTTTATTATGCTTATTACTTGTAGTACACAGTGAGTATAAAACAAAGAACAAAAGTTATTCTTTCTTCACTGTTGAAGGCATAATTATTCAAAGAGAAAGACTGAGAAAGAGAGAGGGAAGAAGGAGAAACAGAAAAAAGGACAAGGGAAGTATATTTTAAATAGTTGGTTTAAGTCATGTCAAACTAATATAGCATTAACTCATCCAACAAATTTGTTCCAGGCACTGTTCTCATTGCTAGAGGTACAGCAATAAAAATGCCAAGATAGAGGACAGTGAACTCCAGGGGAGCTCACGTTATAATGGAGAAAAACAACAAATGAACAAGCAGTAAAAGCATGAGTTCATACAGAGGAGTATGAATAGGATGATGTGAATGGGTGGTGTCACTGGTTCATTATTTTATTTTTAAGACAGGATTTTGCTACATTCCCCAGGCTGGTATCCAACTTACAGGCTCAATTGATCTTCCCAGTTCTCCTCCCAAGTAGCTGGGACCACAGGCATGTGCCACCCTGCCTAGCTGGTTGGCTATTTTAGATTAAATGATTATGGAAGAGAGGGACTCTGAGAATGGGGCATTTAAACTGACATTCAAATGCCAAGAAGATGCAGGAAGAGGAATGAGTGTAAAAGCCTTGGAGTGGTTTTGGAGAAGTTTTGCCATGTGTGCCTACCCTAGAGGGCACAAGAGCCTCTGTGGTTTGAGACCTGAAGGCATATAGGCAGGAATAAGATAATGATGTAGGAAGATAATTCCAATTACTTTCTGGAAATTAAAGTGGTAAGAATGGAAACCAGTAAGGAAGACTGGTTAGTCTTCCATAGTCTATGTAGGAGACTATTCTAGTAGTGCAAAATAGCAGTAGCTGGACAGGGCAATAGTGAAGATAGGAGTGTGTGGACTGGACATGTGCTTTGACACACAACGATCAAGACTTGCTAATGGACTGGCTGAGGAAGGTGAAGGAAAATGCTGTATCTTTAATTGTGCATAACACTGAACTGTTACTGTATAGTCAGTTTTCTACTAACTAAATTGCAACTGAAAAAGATAACTGTCTGTGGACTTGTAAAAAATCCTTTTGTAACTTTTCACAATGGGACTTACTATTGTCCAATATCAGAAAAAACTTTGTTATCAAAAATTATTATAGAATGTCTCTTAATAACATCTTGGCTCCATATCACTTGGTTTTAAGAACTGCATGGATATTCAGATTTATTATCTTCAGTTTGCCCTTCAAATTCTCACTTGAAAAAGTAGAAACTAATTAAATTTGCTGCCATCTTGGAGATATTTCCAAATCAATGGAGGCTAAATTTCAAAATGAAATTAAGAGCAATTGAATCCCTCTGCCTCTAACCCCCATCACTGGAATTTGCAGAGGAGCAATAGGTTGTTTTATGTATGAAATTCATTCCAGAAGTTTAATCTTTGATAATCTCTCATTTTATGGAAGCAGAAAGCTTGAACTAAGGTATAATACAGCAAAGTTTACTTGTTCAGGTCAAATTTTTTTGTTGTTTTTGTTTTGTTTTGTTTTTTGAAACATGGTCTCACTGTGGAGTCCATGTTGATGTTGAACTCATAATCCTCCTGCCTCAGTCTCAGGAATGCTAGATGCAATGTAAATTTAAGGAAGAAGTTATAACCACACCCTTATTCCTTCACTGCTTAGAAGCATTCTTAATTAGTAAAAGGTAAAGGCATAGATGCTTAGAATTTTATAGCTCATTCATTTGAAAAATACTGTTACATAGTTAGCTGCTAGGCAGTTCCTTCAGGGGAGAATACTGCAAACTAGATAATTTTGCCAGAAGAGTTTTAGTCACAGAAAATTCCTCCATGTTGATTTGAGAAAAATGACAATAAAAATTCACTACAGATAAACAGAGATATAATATTACTGTGGTTTGGAAAAAGTATATAAACTATTCTTGGATTTTTATACTGATATCCACTTAAGGCTTTATGAGCAAATATACCATTTTAGCCCTTAGAAGTACTAGAACTTATAAAAATCCTACAAAGAGAAAAATTTATTTTCCACCTATAATTATATAGTCAAATATTGAATCATTACCTCAAAATTGCTCCTTCAAATCAAGAAATGTGTGTCACATTATAAGGTTAAAAAAGCCCAAAGCAAAGACATTTGCATATATAGGTTCACTGTGTAAAAAAGAAAGCTTGTATATTCACTTGTACAGAAAATATATGGAAGAATACATATTAAACTAGTCAATACCTCTTCTATCACATAACTTGTTTTTTACAATAGTGCATTTTCTTTATTGAAATTTTTTTGAGAAAAAGCATATTTTAGAATAGTAAATTTGACAGTGAGCTTATAAAGGAACAAAACCAAAAATTTATCTCGTGTTATTTTTTTCTGTGTCTGTTATGAAGAATACTCTGACATTTGACCCTACAGAAATATATCGTCAGTATGTAGAGATCACTATATAACAGTACATATCGCTATTTCACTAAAAATTTCATTGAAGTAATGAGACCAAAATAAGGAATATAAAAAGAAATGGATCAAAAGAAAAACTACTTAGCAGTATGAAATAAAAACTAGTAATAAAATACAAAAAAGTTATAAGGATAAGGAGGAAGAAGAGGAACCAAATGTCCAACTTCTAAGGCAAGAAACAATATTAAGAACAAAAGGTGACCTAGAATCAGATTTACAGCTTTAGATTCAGTTCAAAGAAACACTTACCTATCTAAAGAACCATACATAAATTTTAGGGTTTGGGCAATATCTTTTATCATATTCCTTAGTTGAGGAAGAGGAACTCTAAAAAAAAGAAGAAATACACATATTCATTTATAATGTGATGAAGAAACTGAAAATGTTTACATTTTGTATGTAAGGTGTATGTCAACTATGAATAAAATTGTGAAAAAAGGTTGCTTTACTATGTAGTAATTGATCACCTTGAGGTCTAGATTTAGGCTTCTAGCATTATCAAATATAGACATTCAATATCACAGTTTATATATAAAGAAACCCTCAAATTCAGCTTCTTTATCCTTAAAATTCAGCCAGTAATCACTCAGCCCTCCTCAGGCCGATTTTGAGGATTCAATGAAATAATTAATGTGAGGATTCAATGAAATAAATTAATTCACTAATTAGTTAGAGCAATATCTGGGATTATGCCCATGCTAATTTTTTTTTCCTGTGCTATATTCTTGACACTTTTCAGTATTACTGGAACCTCCAATTCCTTTGGCAGAACATACTAAGAAAGGAAAGAAAGTAGTACAGAAAAAAAGAAATAGATTTACATTTCCATAGTGAAGGCTTACATGAATTCTACAAGACAGGTCTTATTAATTCCATTTGTATTAGTGGCTAAATTAAAGTTCAAGAAGTGAAGTAAGTTGTGTGAAGTCACAAAGGGAGTGGAGGTTACTGGGCAGCATTCATCTTCTTAGCTGCAAAGTGTTTCTGCTAGCTCACGCTGTCTTCTGGATTAGGTTCCTGCTGTTTGTTTGCTGCAGTTATCACAGAAGGATAAGTTTCCCACCTGAAAACACGTCCCTGGGTTATGTACCGCACACTAACGCCTGCAGCATGGCACTCTTCTCACTCTGCCTTCTCTCCTCACCATTATGAGGAGAGAAGGCAGGTACACTGGCTGTAACATTAAGATAGATGGAAAAAATTCCAGGGCAGCCAGTTCAAATACAAATCACAGGCACAATGACAAGGATACAAAGATACATAAACTGACACTGGTGAGGTGCATGTGCTTGATCTCTCAGTTCTCTCAGTCTCAACAAATGACAATGAATAATACATCTTACGTAAAACAAGATGAGTAAGGATAAGGTGCTGGCGTAGAGTAATTGGCATAAGCTATGAGGGTAAAGAGGGCTTTTTTTTTTTTAACTTTAAAATCAGTTTAGAAAACAGAAGAGATCTTCAAGTTAATTCTAACTCATCAAGCCTAGTTTTCCAGGTTAAGAATAGCACAAATTTGATTTTTTTTTTTGGTCTTTTTGAGACAGAGTCTCACTATGCAGTTCAGGCTGGCCTTAGCTCAGCCCAGGCTAGTCTCAAACTCAAAGCGATCCTTCTGCCTCATCCTCCCGAGTGCTGGGATTCCGGGCATGTGCCACCATGCTCGGCCAAGAATGTCATAAATATTTAGGGAAGATGACCTGCCTTGTTAAAGATTGAGAACTTGCCTACGGCACCTCCTTTTTAGAGCTCGGCATTGAAAGTCCTTCTTCTAAACTTCTGCATAAAACTGCTCCTGGAAACTCTGTCTGCCTACATTGGCTGGCGTCATCAGCCTCTGCTCAGTTCCTCTGCTGGGCTTTCCTTTCCCCTCCCTAACTGTTCACGCTGCCTTTGTCTTAACACTGTATTTTCTTTCTTCTCTTTTGATTTCTGGGCTATACAAAAGTCTTAAAAACAAATGTTTTATTCTACCATGACATCTTAAGTGATTTTATTCTGGATGCTCTCCAATTCTTGGAAACATACTTTGAGAAGAATCCCTTAGTTTTTTCATAATCCAACCCACTAGTGATAGGATAGTCTCTTAGCACTGTTCATAATAATCTCTTTTGAGATAGCAAAACATACATTAACTGGTTAAAGATCACCATCATCTAGTATATATTTAAACATCATACTTTCATGTTAAAAAATTTGAACCCAACATTTATATGATATCTCTTTCTGTCCATAATTAAAGTTGCCTTCAAAACATAACCATTTGTTATTTTTCACTGCATCCACCTTTGGAGATCCTGTTTGTGATGGTAAAACATGCCCCCAAATTCTTTGACACTCTTTTCCTCAGTAGGTGGTGCCTAATTCCTCCCTTTGAGTGTAGTCTGGACTCTGTAACTCACTTCTAACAATATATGCTGGAATGACAGTGTATCAATTCTCAGGTTAAACCATGAAGTCCTCTTTCTCTCTTTTGGATCACTCAATTTGGGGAAAGCCAACTGATATATATTTGGAGGACACTCAAGCAGGTGAAGTCAGTGTGGCAAGGAACTGAGATCTCCTGACAGTGACCGTATATATAAGCCACCTTGGAAGCAGACTCTCTAGCTCCAGTTAAACCTTACGATATCCCTGGCTGACATTCAGCTACAACATCAAGAAAGACCCTGACTCAGCCAGAACTACTTAGCTACGTTGATCCTGGATTTCTGTACCACCACAACACCTGTAAGATAGTATATATTTACTATTTAAATTACCTCCCAAATTTTGTAGTTTTATTTTTTTCCTGAGTATTGGAGATCAAACCCAGGGCCTTATACATGCTATCCAAGTAGTCTACCACTGTGTTACACTTCCACCCCAAAATTATCTGTAAATTTGAGTGGGGGGATAATTTGTTATATAGCAATAGATATAATAGATAACTAACACAATGTTATGTAATGAAAGATAGCCAGTTAACAAAGTTTTTAGTAACAGAAAATAGTGGTATTTTGTTTCAGTTGGCAGGATTATGTACTTTCTGACCCATCTTTTTCTTTCTTGGATAGTTTAAACACCCTAAGGGAAATTTTAAGAAACCATAAGGGAAATTTTGTCAGAACCAATATTCTCCAAAGTTGTATCAGTCACATACTATAGTACTTATTTTAATATTTGGTGTAGACCATATGCCATGATTTTGTGGACCAAAAGAGAAAAACCGGGATACGTTTAATACTTTACTGATAAAGTTACCCAGATATTTTAAAAGTTTGACAAGAATTTCAATTACAAGTTTTAAGACTCATTGAACAGGGACATACAACCATACTAACACTAATTAAGTCCATCTCCTTGGAGGCTGTTCTCCACATTTGTACTGCATTTCTCCTTTAATTCTGTGAGATTATGGAATCACTATAGTAGAAATAATTCACACTGACCCTCATTCAATTTGAAATTCTGCCTCTTACTGATTATGTCACCTGCGTCAGGTGATTTAACCAACTGAATGTAAAGTACCTAATGCAGTTTCTAGACTCATGGCCAGTTCATTACAGATGTCAATCTTGTTTTTATTTCCAACATCTAAAATAAGATATATTTTAGAATTCTTGTAAAAATTCAAGGCCATGTAAGATGAACCATTGGAGAAGTCACTTTGGAGTTCCATATTCATTATTTTGTCAGAAGTGCTCAGAGAAAATACAAAAAAAAAGTAAGTATGCAAATCATAGCATTGTGGAGGTTAAAAAAAGAGGACAAGATCATCTCTCACTCACTTCTGCACTTCTATACAGGCCACAGAAAGACAAGTAGGTGCACTGCCAGCCTCTAGCCTTACTGATCAGCTCAGGTGATCAATCACCTTAATGGCATCTTTTGGGACTATGCATACCAAATGAACACAAGAGTAACTACTTCACTAAGGCAGTACACCTCTAAATCATAAAACTGTTGAAGAAGTGTCTTTTGACAAAAATGGTGTAATTTTAATGAAATAGGCTCTGTTAATACTACTTTAGAAATGACTTCAAGGTAAAAAAAAAATTTCAACTTACTCTTCAGCAGGCAGGCCAATTAGCAACAACTTCTCAGTTTCTTTCAAATAAGCTACATGAATTTGTTTTCCATTTAAAAAGAGGGATGAGCTAAGGAAAAATAAATTTCAAATAAGGTTAGAGTATCTTTAAATATCATAAAATTATAAAAATACCCATAAAAATTACATGTGGTATGATTTAAGAATGGAGTGCTTACTAAACAAGTTTCTTGGCATATATATATCTAACTGCCACACAGAAAAAGCAAAGAATTATGTGACAACAAAAATACATTCTAACATATTTTTAAAACAACAGAAACAACCCAACAAACCTACACTAAATAGTTCATTTATTATTTTAAAAATGTTGAAATTATTTTGTTAACATTAATAAGCTATATACATTTTTTTTCCAAAAGGAACTTCCTTTCCAGCTGGTTATTTAGCACACTTTTTATGACTGCCTATTCATAAACATGCTTGAAAGAGGCTATAGGGGTTACAAAGAAAAAAAAAATGGTTCCAGCTCAGAAAATGACAACTAATCAAAATTATCAGTCAGATTTAAACATGTTCTTTAGGAAACTTTTGGAGTAATGCATATATTGTAGTGATGGTTTCAGGATATATATCTATGTCAAAACTGATTACATGGCATATTTTACATATGTAGAGTTTATTATACTATTTATGCTTCACGAAGCTGGAAAAGATTAAATGCATGATCAAAAGAGATATAATAATGAACTTTGGAAATACAGAGCATATAAAAGTGTGGAGTTTAAACACGAATTAATTAATAAAAATTTTTCTCTCAAAAAGAAATTGTTTTTATCTTAAGAAAGTTTAAAAATATATATACTTTAGGCAAATATTAAACTCCTCTGTAGTCAGACCAGTATTACTATAGTTTTAAAAATACATAAGCCACAGACATACCTATTTTTAAGTTTGTTGCCAGCACCTTAAAACATTATGCTACATCAAAAAAGTCAGTCACAAATAATCAAACTTCATAAAAATTCCATACATGTGAAAAGACTAGAACAGACAAATGTGTAGGTATGGCTGGGGCAGGCAGGTTGAAAGGGCACAGGGTTTCTATTTTGAGGTGACAAAAATGTCCTAACATTGGCTTTGGTGATGGTTACACATCCTGTGGACACTCTTGAAATCATCTACTTGTACACTTTTTAAATGGGTGAAGTGTAACAGTTATGAATTAAATCTCAATAAAGGTGTTAAAAATACATAAGTAATAAAAGGGGCTGGCCATATAACTCTGCAGCACTTGCCTAGATATGTGAGGCTCTAGGTGTGATCCTAACACCACAAAAATCAATCAATAATAATAAAAATGAAAAGAAGCCTGCAATGTACTTTTGTTTGTTTGTTTTTTTGAGGCAGTTTCACTATGTAGCCCAGCCTGGCCTCAAATTCACAGTGATCTTTCTGCCTCAGCCTCCCGAGAGCTGGGACTTTGGCATGGGCCATCAGGTGGTTTTATAAATGAAAATGTATACTCCAAATGGAGCCCCAAATATCCCTTTCTTGACAAAAGAAACAATTTCTATATATAGTATCCTATATTAAAAGCCACAGATTTAAATACCACTTTTATCTAGGAAAACAAAGAAATTCTTTCTGTTGTCTTACAGATCTTACCTCTTTTTAAAATCTTAAAAGTCCTGCAAAATTGAATTTGATATTTTATTAGTAATAAGAGGTGCTTCAAATTTGAAATAAACATCTTTTATAAACTCCAAAATTATTAAAATATTAAGAGAGCAAATCTGTACTACTTCACCTGTTTTATTTTTTTGAAAACACTAAACTTTGAGTTCTCTTGTCTCTAAATTAAATATGGCATGTCAGTGTTAGGGTTTGATAAATAAGTATTTGATGTATTCTTTTTTTCTCTTTCCTTTTGGAAGTACAACAAAAGGGGGGACCTTGCACATGGAGATAAGCACTCCACCAATGAGCTACATCTTCAGCCCTAATTTTTGAATTATCTGACAGCAGTTTAATTTATCCATCACAGATGACAGACAGTAACCTTCACAGATAATCTTCACAGATAACAGATAACAGTGAATTCTGAATATTCCTCTTAAAGTACATTCTGCATTTTTCTATAATTGCTGTAAACAGAGTATTTTTTAACTATCTGAAAAATTCAGTGCTTAATTATTCTTGCCAATCCAAAGGTATTATCTAATAATTTAATCAAGGTAAGAATGAGTCAGGCATAGTAGTGCATGCCTGCAGTCTCAGCACTGTGGTACACTGAGACATGAGGATCACAAATTCAAGCCTACCCTGGGCAATTTAGAAAGACCCTGTCTCCAAAAACAAACAACAAGCAAACAAGGACTAAGAATATAGCTCAGTGCAAAGGCCCTGTGTTCAATCCACAGTACCATGAAAAAAAAAAGATAAAACATGACAATAGTTTACCTATGATTATAAATATTTACATTATAGATACAATTATATTTGTATAAAACTTATTTTAGTGTTTTACTGTATTTGTTACAAAGAAAACAACTTGAACAAAAAGACTTAAAGCTAAATAAAAACTATTACCTAGTAACTTGTGTCCCAGTTACATTTTCCAGCATGTCACAGAGTGTGAGAAAAATCCCTCTCACACTTTTAAGTTTCTGAGATGCTTCAGACATTGGATAATGATAAAGAATTTCTTGCTGTTAAATGAAAGGAAACAGAAATGATCAAACTGCCCAAAATTTCCAATCATTATTTTTGTGATGAAAAGTTGAGACTCTGTATTAAGAACAACAACAACTACAAAGAATTTATTTAGCATCAGTGGGAATTGTATTCAAACAAAAAAAAGTATGCCTGGAATCTTAACACACTAACTAGCATTTAAAATGCTACATTTGAAAATAAGAGGTTGCCAATTGGTCTTGATAGCACACTACAGGCTAAATCAAATACTGATTAAGTGAAGTTACAATTAATTTCAGTTTTAAACTTTAATCTCCTTAATAATTTCTAATACCAATATTTTATTATATTTCCTTATACACAGGTTCTTACCTTCCATGGCTACATAGCTACTCACACCACATGTGACTTTTAGGAATCAATTCAGTTACCTTCATAATTAACTTTGAAAACCTAATCTTTATTTTTGGTAAAATTATTAAATGCTTATTTAAGTTCAAGACCAAAACTACAATTAAATTTAACAAAGTGAGAACACAAAAATAAAGCAGTACAGATAGGAATGGAAAAGTATCACAGTATTATAAAATCTGTCTTAAGTTTGAAAGAATTTGCAAACTTCAAGTCAGTCTGAATCCAAAAGGTTAAATGAGCACATGTTTTATTTTAAATTATGGAGAATGCTAGATCTATAAGATACTTCACAAAATGCTGCAGTTTTTTTCTATTTTTAAGAAGAGCATATTCTCAGGAAATAAATGGCTTTTACACAGTAACAAATCTCAGAAGCAGTATGTGCACTGTGCTAATACTTTTAAAACACAAAGATGAACCATATGTCTCACTTGCTTTGCTCCTACAGCAACACATATGTCTCTCCTAAGACAAATTACAAGAGGTGAAATAAAAGTTTCTAGACAGAGCCATGGAGAGTGCAGGGCAGCGCATTGTTTAATGACTATAAAATATTATATAGTTTAATGACTATAAATATTAATATAGCCACAATCAAAAAGACCAAACTCCTTAAAACTTAAGCTAGAGAGAAAACTTAAGCTCTCTTAGAGAGAGAACTTTTCCTGAGTTCTCTCTCTAAAGAATGTTATAACTCTGCTTTATTCAGTATGTAAGAAATAATTACATAACACTGTGTCCATGTATAGGCAACTTTTAATGACAAATATAAATAATGATAAACTGAGACACATCTGCTTTTTATACTTTCTAGGTACATTCAATATATGTAAATTGTGTAGTATTGGCCAAATATACTCTGCCTAAAAATTCAAACTTACTCGAAAGATTTCCACAGCAAAAATAGTTACAAAACATTATTTTGTCCATACATATTAAGTCAAACATAAATTAAGATCTCTTGTTATATCTACTAAATAAGTTTAACTTTGGCCAATAAATACTTTTATTGTATTTAGCCAAAATACCAAAACAATTTAAACAAATAATCTTTGACTAGTTTTTGAAATCTCCAATCTTATGGTCCTTTCATTCCAAATCTTGTAACTGGAAGAAGAAAAATTTTTATCAACTATGTAATTCACAGCAAACAAAATGACCCTCTAACATTTCATTGAAAATAGGTCATAACAGTGGAAAAGGCCATTAAGAGAGTCTCTATTCCAGCCAGTAGTAAAGTCCTGGCAAACACTACAGCTCCCAGCCAATTTAATTAGCTGTATTTTTAAGCACTTGTACATAGCTTGCATTTGTAGCAGCTTCCACTCTGCTCAATAAGAATAAAAAGCCTGTCTTAATTGCAGTGTTGATACATGGCTGGCAACAGACAGAAACTGTTCATCTGAGAAATATCTACACACTTTCCCAGGGAAAGAAAGGCAAGGATGACAATAGGTCTCAGCAGTACCCTATTCCAAAATGACCTAAAAAGACTCAGGTTATTATCCCTGAATTTGTTGAATGATTTATATGATAATGCTTAAATGACTCATTTATTTTTATTTTGAAGTGACAAAAAAAGCTAAAAACAATAAAATGATACAGAATTTCAAAACAAGATAGGAAATTAACAGTGGTTATTATATTGCATATTTTATTTATTATCTTCAAAGTAGTTGCTCAGATTTTCAGGTATAGGCATACAAAATTGATCAAACTAGTAAAAATTAGTAGTACAATTACCATAGCTATCTTTTGCATATATATATATACACATATATATATATTTCCCCCTTCCTTCTTTTCTTTTTTTCCCCCATCCCAGTTGTTCTTTCCTTGTGAGCAGTTTCTTTCTCTTTAACAATATCTATTATACTTTTTGGACTTTATTTACTGTTTCAGTTTCTTACACTAAGGAAGAAGCCAATAATATACACAAGAAATCAGAATTAAACTCTGGGTCTGTGTATTTTCAAAACAAAACTGTAAAACTATGTATAAAATAAATCCCTTCTTTGTCATTTAAGTTGTTAATTTTGAGACATGAAGCAACATAATAAAATGCATCCCTTGGATAAAATGTCTTTGGCATTGGTAATACAGGATGAATAGATTTCAAAAACAAAGAAATGCAGATTAGTTAAACACTTTTAAAATTCATTTCTGCTCAAAGCATTACGGAGGACTAAATACTTAAGAGAGACTGCTATTGTAAAAGTGGACCCAAAACATTCTTGTTGGATCGCAGGCATGCAAGAAGAAAGATGTTTCTAAGGGAATCCCCTTTTCTACTACTGCAAAGGAAGCTGGAGAGCTGCTGAGCGGTGGGCAGAACAGAGGCAGCACTGTGCTGAGGGTTGATGCCTACAGCAGCTTCAGTCAGAAAATGAACGTGGGGTAGTGGCCAGGTAGGTGAGTTAAGCCTGTGACCACTAACTTAAGCCCAGATCCTCAAGTAACGCTAACTGGTCCTAGGGTCAGTGGCAGAAACAGAAGAAAATTCTCCCCAGGGCAAACATTCCTACTTTATAAGCACAAGACTTCCAAGGCAGTATGTTTAGACAGATATCCTTAAGACACAAAAAGGCAAGCAATTTGTTATGGTTTGGTTTTTAGATGTCTTTCAAAGACCCATACGTGAAAGGCTTGGTCACCAGCCTGTGGTGCTACTGGGAAGTGGTGGAACTTTCAGAAAGAAGTTGGGGCCCAGGGGCTCGGGATTTAGCTCAGCAGCACAGCGCCTGCCTGGCAAGCGCAAGGTCGTGAGTTCCATTCCCAGTACCGGGGAGAAAAAAAAACAAAACAAAAAAAGTTGGGGCCTAGTAGAAAGAAGTTAGGTTTCTGGAGGCATGACCTTGAGGGGATATGGAGACCCAGGGCCTCTCCAACCTGTCTTTTGGAGCCTGGCCACTATGAGGTGGACCTTTGCTCCACCATAAGCTCCCCACTGTGATGGTCTACCTTGTGACAGGTCCAAAAAGAACAGAGCCCAATGACCATATATTGAAACCATGAACCTAAATGCACACTGCCTCTTTTCAGGGCTATTTTGTCAGTGACAAAAAACTTACCACTATAAATGAGTCTCCTTACATCTTGAGATAGTAAGGTGAGAAAATATAGACTAGAGAAGTGCTATGTATAAAATGGCTAGAGAACTATAGAATCACAAAGATAACCAAAGAACAAGAAAATAGGAATACCATGGGAGATTTGCGAGGTAGAGTCATTAGAAACTTTTCAAGAACATCTAAAGCTAAAAATAGGGGCTGGGGATTTAGCTCAGTGGCAAAAGCGCCTGCCTGGCAAGCGCA